CAATAGAAAGATTTAATCCTCAAGCTGGTGCGATGAAATAACCAAAGACTTTTTTTGTTTGCGCAAAAGCTTTGGTAAGAAAAGTTTGTGATCGATAGAAACACATGAGAAAGGAACTACTTATATTCAGTAAGATTAAAATTATTTATATTTTAGGAATAGTAAAGCAAAAAGCACAGCAGAGGACCTACATAACCATTTTGAAGTTAAGCAACTATAAGGTGATAGGTAAGTAAAACTGTTAAAAAATTTCCTACGCTAAAGTTACTGAGTGGTCCCGACCTCCGCATTAGGGAAGTTTCATTCACGATTGTCAAGACATATCAGTGAACTTCAGCATAAAATCATAGAAGATACAGTGAATATTCTTGCTCCAACACATTACTGGCAGGAATTCGTCTTAAGATGCAGTTAATAACTATTTTTGCATAAAAAGCCAAGTGTACCTCCAAATGAGGCATATATTTGAAAATAATTTAGCAAGTTGATGGATCTGCTCATGTATTTCTACCTTTATCAGTGCCACTAATTCAATTTTTAAAATTCAAACTCAATCAAACAAGTTCTACCACAAACATGTATTCCTAGCCAATAGCCATAACAATCGATTTAAAATTCCATACCAGAAGACCGTAATTCACATTATTTTTGAGGTCGCTAATGTTAGTTAAAGTTACTCTAACTAGATACATATTTTATTAGGTTTAAAGATTTTCGATAATTATATAAAACATGCTATCTATGTATCTAAACATGCTATGTATTTAAATTATTCATTATTTGTTCTCTATTTCATTCGAAAAGTGAGAACAGCAGATCTGTCTAGATAATATTATGGATGTGATAATTTTCTTGATAAATTCTGGTAATGAAAAATAAGAGCTTAGAGATGTCCCAAATATTGGTTAAACTGCTTGCCGAACTCATGGTTACCTCCAAGTGAGTTTTTTGCAGTGCATGGTTCAGAACATTAAAATTAACAACTTTAATCTCACAAAAAAGGCTGTTTATTAGAATTCAGGCTTTCAAAATTAAAATCAGGGATTTCGTCGCAATAAATTTAAGATATACATTCAGTTATGGACAAGCTAAGTGCAGGTTCCTCGCAGCATCAGATTGTTAAATATATTATGCCCGAAAAATGTGTTTGAAAATAATCCCAACAAAATTTTGTCTTTCAACAGAATTTCACGTTACCTGGTGACCTGCAACTTGATACTGTTCGGATTTGTGCCTTTTCAGTAGAACATAAATCCCTAATGCTTGTTACATATTTTCTATGAATTCTGCCACCTTAAAGGGTCTGAATGAAATATTTTGTCAAAAAATAAAACATTAATCCCAGAAAATGTTCATCTTTACACTATTGGCCCACTCAAACCTAATACCACGATAACAAGGCCTAAGACCACATCCATCTAAAACTTAAAATTTGTCCCAAATTGTTCTTTTTTGACGGCCATCTCAACTCAACCATAGGAAAAGAGAGGTTTTGGGAAAGCTTACAAATTTAATGAAACAATCATATATACACCTCATTCTTTAAAATCCTTAGCTTCTAAAAGAAAATAAACGGGCTGCATCAAATTGGAGACTGGAGGTTGAAACCACTGTAGGCACCGGTCATCAAGGACGGTTGAGGAGAAAGTGCCTGAATTTCCTGAGGTTGAGGTTCGTTCATTTTCACCACTAACTCATTCAACTTCGTAAAATCAGTGCTATTAATCCACTCCTGGCCAATCCTAACGCCGCTAATTATCATTATGGCGGCACCAAAAATTATCAATAGAATCCCGAATGGAAGAAAAAGGTCCTTATTCGTGTAGTCATAAACGTAATTGCGACAAATGAAAAGAAAAAGTGCACCAAAAGTCAAAACAAAAAAACCGACAGCAAGGGTAATGTAATTGCATTTAAAAAGAGCAAAATCATCAAACTCCCTCATCGTGAAAAACTTCAGGAAAGGTATCTTCCCCAACGCGGTATTTAGTTTCAAGGGCGAGTTGTGTGAATTCAATTATTTAAACAGATTTGATGGATTCATGATCAGCAAACATCGATTTACTTAGGTAGGATTTAAAAAGCCAAAAATCACTTTTCTTAACACCACTGTAGTATATGCTTTATACAACAGTAACAACAAATTGTTGCAAATTCAACGAATTGAGTTTTGAGTGATCGATTGTGTCAAACGAGAACAGTGCCAAAATCTTTTCAACAATCCAAAATTTTAAATACTAGACACCATCATTCATCATTAAATATTTATTTTGCCTTAAGAGATCATTAGTACATGACTTTTCTTGACAGATTTTATGGAAATGTAAAATACGACAATCAATTTGACATTTCAAATATTTCTCTATATTTTATTTAATATTGCAAATATTTATAAAATAAGAGATGAAACGTTGGAATTTATAATTTTTCCTCTAGAAATGATAGAAAGCCAATAATCAAATATTGTAACAATGACAATTCTTCGAGGTGATTACTTTGTTTTGCAAAAAAGCAAACTAATTGGACATTCAAAATTCCTTTGTAACAAGTTTTTTTGTTTTGCTTTAATAAGTGAATTTTCGATACACTAAATTAAAATGATTTTACAGACTGTGGCCTCACTATTTTTGCGCTTTGTAGGATAAGATTCAATATGAAACCAGATTGATAAATGGGAGAATTCCAATAGATTAAAAACAGAAATAAATTTCTGTTGTATTTTGCCTTTTTCTTGTAGACTTTTGAAAGCAATATTGGTTTTATTATCTGCATTCCCAACATCTTGAAAATGTGCATATATCCCACTTAATTTTTGACCAAATCATCATTTTTTACATTACGTCGACTGCCAGAAAGCTTTTACGTGCTCCAGAACATTGCTTGAACACTTAGAAGTAGTGTGTGCAAACTTTGGTTTTGTAACCACAAATATGTATTTCAATTGATGTGATCTAGAGAGTTATCTGTAGAGAATACAGCACCTCCAACACTGTCTTCCTTGCTTTAGACAATTTTGTACTTTTCATCATCAAGTGATTGTAGGCAAGCTAACTGCCATATCCATATTGACTGACCCTTCCCACTCATTCATTCACTTTTGGGTACACTACCTCTTATTCGCCTCCCAATACTTCCAGCATCATATATCATTAGGCGCATGTGGACGTGCACTCGCCCTTTGGCTGAGATAGTAGAAACTGGGCGAGTTCCTGTCGCGTACTAGCGTGTGAAGGCACTGATTCATTCATGCTCTGTCTGAGGCCTAGTGTGAGGAAGCCTGTAGGGTCCTAACAACGGGCATCGACTACTTGAGTTCAGGATGTCGCATCTGTGTACCGCAACTCAATCTGTCACCAAAAACTGCGACAAATCTCCTGCTCTGACATATACTAGCGCGTTTGTCCGTGCCTACAACTTTACAAGGGGTTTCCAAACATGGGTTCCTAAGCATCCCTAGACTCGCTTGCGATTTTTAAAATTGGGAATATTATGGCATGATGCGCTGACTTGTTCATGCGTGATTGCACGACTACATAATTATAGAAGATTGAAACATTTAAGAGGATAAATAAAAGCACGTCCATACAACTATAAGCCGAAATTTCGGAGACAACTTCATGAACCTAACCGAACTTAAAAGACATTTATTTCCGAGCAAATCAAATTCAATGACAGACCTTCAATATTTCATTATTCTAACTTGCTATTGGATTACCTCAAAATGCGCCAATTTGTTCTGGTATCTTTTAGTCAAACTTTTGTCCAGTCAACCTAATGAAGTTCCTCTACCAAAGTCGCCCACTCGGACTGGGCTTAAGTACCGATGCGCCTCCAAGTATACCCTACTGCCATAATGCAAGGCCACATCGCAAGAGCATTGCATTCCTCCGTCAACCCGTGATAGCTGTTCCAGAGACCTAATTGACGACCAACTCCCAGGTCTGATGGTACTAGCCTCGTACTCGGAGGCGTCCAAGACCAATCCAAATAATCAAAAAGGCACTTCAATAGCATTTGAGATAAATAATGACATCGAAGTCACACTTATAATGCTAACGTGAACTCCAAGTGGATTTATACAAGCACAGTGAAATCAAAACAAATTTCACATGTATTCTAAAGATTTGGTGATATGTAACCGGTTAGAGACGCTTATATAGGCCCAAAGTTGAACCGCAGATGGGGCAGACGTGTCGGACATCTTGACAGCATCCACAACAGAAGGGTATGAGGCAGCAGAAAAAGAAGCCACTAGGGGGAAAAGATGGCGGGCAGATGTAAGTGCATGAGAAGCTCAGAGCTAGGTTTCACGTTGTACTACTGTAATGTCGTACATTGTGGTATGACTGGATGCTCGATCGTGAGATTAAACAGACCGAAAGGGTACCCACAAGTCCGAGCTCATCCTTTGCCCCATATTTAACCTTTTGTGGTCTAGTGCGCTCACGGAGGGTTACATCTTGTTTGTTTACAATGCGAGTAATGTGCCGCACCAAACCCATTCAGTGCGATAAGAATTGATGTCAATTGTTTTACGATAACACATACAATTTCCCGTGTGATTTTTGAACAGCCTGTCCCAAACTGCCTCTCGTTCGACGGGATTGATTATCTATAAACTGAAGCTCAAGTTATATACACTGGTGCTGTTAACTGTTTCGTGAGACGCTCGGCATTTCAAAAAAAAACAATTTTTCACTCCAACATTCACTGAGAAAGTGTGCGTTAAATGTACTGATATAAAAAACAAAATTTACACTCTGGATGAAAGGTGCAAACATCCAAATCATGACGTCATGTGCGAACGGTGCCAACTCACGTCAAACACCGCCGTCAACCGCTCAATCTGACTTGTCAACAAACCTGCGCACACCACCAGTTCCACCGACTTCTGCGTAATCAATCGACCACATAAATCTTACCCCTGATTCAACAGTATGGATTGATGTGTGTGTGTGTGTGTGTGTGTGTGTTTGTCTGAGTGGGTAATCGACGTAGGCTTACCCAAGGATAAATATTAGCGCGCAGAACAGCCAGGCCAGCACGCCTGACTCGTAGACCGGCTGGGTGTTGACTGACCTCAGACACGTGGGGCAAAATGCGAACTGAGAGCCCGAACCGAAACCCGCGTTAGTGATCACCACAGTTGTTCCGGGCACTAAGTAAATATCGAAACAAAATTGTTTTTATTCCACATGCAAAATAGGGGGGAAATGATGTCTCCCAAAGGCGCCCATTTGGAGATTTTCCGATGTAGCGTCTGCTTCTTAGATCGACAATGTAATTTCCCCACTCAAGCACAATATGGCATGACGCATTTATTCACACAAGTAGTCGTTTATTACTAATTTCATTATCGGACTGTTTATTTTGTGCTTGCAAAAACGTCGCACCACAATTTAAATGAGTAAATTTACATCAAACAACAAAACACTTGTCTAAAGTTCTAAAAATGAATTTGTGAAGTCAGGTGAAATTTACAGGCCTGGTGGCATCTCTTGAGTCAAAGAAACGCACGCTGAGGACTTCAAAAGTGGCTGAACGAGGACTGCTGTTTACTCCGAAACAGTATCTTAAAAGTGCATTTTACAAAATTTACAAGAGCCCGCTCCGAAAGGTGAAATAATTATGGAAAAAGTGAAGGTTCGACCTTCGAATTTGTGAATCGCACTGCAAACTAACTAAGGCGTCATTAGCACACAACCAGTGTTGAGTCTGAATTTCCGTAAGTGAAATATGTTATTGTTTAGGCGAAAAGTGAATCAAACACCGCCACACTGAAGCATCTAGACCTTCCGCAAGATCAAACAAGCGGCACGCTGCCGCATTAGCTGACGACCAATCCTTGAGTACCGAGAATCAACGTCTAAACTAACCACCTCCTGGTTTTCAATACTCACTGGATTTATTGTCGTTAATAAAACTAATTTGGAGAACAAATTTGATCTTGTAGCACTAGGAACTCCCAGAATCCCATCGTTTAATTGACCGTTTGAGAGCGGGGATTCCACCACAAGTCATAATAATTTATTTCGACTATAAAAAAAGCTAACTGACGAACAGTTAGAAGCTGAATATCGCCACAACACTTCAGTGACCAGATTTCCGAAAGAATATCCTAACAAAATGTCTGCATAATAAAACAGTTTCAATCAAAGATCAAAGCGTAGGAGGGGTATTGTTTGACGTACCATACGACGGCGGAACGGGAGGAGGCTGAGCGATAGAACTGTACGGGGGCGGCGGGTCTGCAGGAATAGTTGGTTCAGCCACGTATGGTGGAGCTATAAATTAAGAATAAGGTGGAAAACCATCACACGACAAAAGGCCAACCACATAACGTTACCTCGAGTAACAGAAAGCATAATCAAGTGCGCGAATTGAATTCTACAGTAGCTGAGCCCCACAGTCGCATAGCCTCCTAAGCAGTCGAATTCTAAGCCTAGTTTGCCCGCCATTTTGTGTATTTCAAAATGACTACAGCGTGATGATTGACGGTAAATATGAAATTAACATGACAGCAAGTCACAACCGAAAAACTTGCAATAGGGGTTTAGGAGTATTTCCGAAAAAGGTTACTGTGGCAAATTGAAAATACTGAGACCCTTAGAAAGCATTTGATTGGTTACAAAAAAAATATTAAACATCTTTCTAACTTCATATCCAAGGCTTCTTCAGCAGAGGCATCTATGCCATATTAATAAAGCAATACACCATTTCATTTAGAGTTCACAAGATTCACCATTCTAAATGTGTAGAGAAAGGTGAAGAAAAGTGGCAATTATACCAAGGCGGTAGAGAGTTGGAAGTTAAATTGAATAAAGGACTCCCAGCGTTAGGACTTGTTTTAATGCACATTGGCATGGCAGAGAAAATTTGATGAGACAACTAAATATTGACCGGTAATTAAGCAAAAAACTGCATTTCTTTGACCCGATTTCAACTAGTTATTTTGCCGATAATACTAACTAAAACGGCGGCTGTTTACTCAGGAGCACGATTTAGATCACTTCACCGGAAACCATTTTTGGCTTATCGCTTCACATAATGGAATATTTTGAGAAATTTGGCCATATAACTACAATTAATCTTGCTAAATAAGAATAATATTCTCTATTACTTACATGTGCTCATATACAAACATTCCAGGTAGCTCGTTGGTGGAAGTTTGTGCTGGTCTTTTTATGTCCACGAAAGCAAGACTAAGGCCAAAGACAATGCATAAAAATTGGTTTAAAGGAAGCATTTAGAGACAGGCATTCAAATTATTAACACATGGCCCTTCCCCCACTGATAAGAAATACCTGGAAATTAAAAACGTGTTCAGGATAAAAGGGAAATTTAGTGACCCTAATATGAAGTATTGAAATGCCTGACAGGTGAAGACAGTGGTGAGAAATTTGACACAATAAGCCTAAAATAGAAGCCTTCAGGAACAATGACTGAGAATCGGAAACCTTCATAACTCCTTAAAATAGTAGTATCTAGTAACATTCTTGTTATTCTAGTACAAAAAATAAAGAAATTACGCATGAACCGAAGCACGTTTTAACCCAGTACTTGATTTGAGACTCAGGCGAAATATTTAAACACAGTTAAATGATGAAACGGACGTGGATTTATCAACTGTAAAGTAAACATCGCAAAATGAAAACCAAGCCTGTTAACCTACGATCATGCATGCCTAACCCCGACAACGTCAATAGGACTTTGCCAAGCTAAGGCGGTGTGGTGTGGTGTGGCGTCGGATCAGGGCGCAGACATGTTGGACCACCTGGCCTCAGCCAACCCCGTGTCTGTCTGCGATCCAATGGCATGCGGGAAAGGAAGGCAGCCAACCAGAGAAGGACATGGATGAGATGCAGTATATAATGAGCGGCATGACCAGTGTGGTGGACTCGTATGGAAGGCGCCTGACGCACGGCTCTGGCTTCTGATTGGTCAATAAAGCCTGTTCTGTTGTACCGGTCTTTTTCCTATTAGGGCTCGGGTATTCTACATTGGTGGCAGCGGATGCGTTCGAATAACGCAACTCGAACCCCAGCCCTTTCTCTTCGATGGTCAACAGAGGCGAAGACTCTTAAATGCCGGTTGAAGTTGTCAAGGCGTTCATCCGATGTCCAATAGACTGGATCCATAGACATTGCCCGGGATTAAGACTTCTGCATCTGAAGAGGCATTGGCAACTCAGCGACGACGACTTGAACAGTGAAAGCCGCCTGGACTGCATCTGCGAACGGACCTTCGATGAATGATGAGTCCTTCCTGCAAGTCTACAAGCGCAAAGTCCTTCATCAACTATTTGCATGGGCCACTATCCTGTCATATGTGAGGTGCGGGGAGTGTCGCAATAGATATTTTACCAACATTAAACATCAACAGCAGTGCGGTGAACCAAGCTAGAAGCTGAGGACAGCTTCATTGCTGAGATGGACGCAGTGTGGCTACGTCTGAGTTCGCAGACATGTTGGATAACGCTTGTCTCAGTCAATCCTGTGTCCCTCTGCTTTCTAATGGCATTTGAGGAAGATATTTCGCCAACCAGAGAGAGAAACGAATAAGGAGCATTATATAATGAACGGCGTAGCCATCATCGTTGACTCGAATGGGCGGAGCCTGACGTGGGGTTCTGGTTGTGACTGGTCAATAAAGCCAACTTTGTTACACCGGTCTTCTTCATACTATGGCTCGGGAATTCTACAGTAATTTTGTTTGAGAGTCCAGTCATACTGCGTCACGCGGAACTCAACCAACACTAGCTGCGCGTTTGAAAATACAGCGAGAATAATCATCAGCCAACCGGGGACAAGGACGGATAATTAACGCCTGACTAACCCTAAGTTCACCCAAAATGGTTACCCTGAACAATGTCCCTGATTGACGATTGCGACTGAAAGTTTGTCAGTAGCGCCTTATCCATTGTGCCTCAATTCTTCATATCAAGATTAAGGTCATCCGCAAGTTTAAAGACCTCGATTAAAACACTCCAAATAATTCAGTAAGTTATGAGGCAGTTTCTAGCGGGACTTATTTTTAACAGTATAAAAAATGCAATATTTGAAGCAAGACTTAACTTTTACACAAGCTGCTGGCGATTTCATGCTCAACAATAAGTCGGGAAGCATGAAAGGGCAGATCATTTTTTTTCATCAAGTCATTTTAAACAAATCAAGATTTTGTATGAAGATATTGATGATAACCTTGAATTTTAATTTAGGAAGAAAAATTGTGTAACAAACACAAACAATTCATGAAAGTGAAATTGACAATAAGTTTGCACCATTAACTCCTTCAGTAATCAGAAATTTGTGGGAAGCAGCATGATATTAAAAGATACATTTTCAACTTCATGTTTTCCAATTGCTCCACATAGTCATCTTGTATAATCTGCACCTTTTTATAGGTTTCCGTAATCTGTTCCAAAATCAATGAGAGTACGCTCACAACGCAGCGATCTTTCTGTATGTGCTATTAAAAGCCTTCGTACATGAACATATTTAACGTTTATTACTTAGGTACCTCAATTAGGGCCAGCGTTATCTTAAGATGCTCAAAGAATTCTGCTCAAACGAAAGCCTCAAGGTTAAATAAATCTTGTGAAATTGACGAATATGTAGAGCTTTTTAAAATGACTGTCCAAAAAATTTATTTGTATATATTAAATCGAGAATTAATACCATTCAACGTTCAACGAAACCCTAAAAATTGACACCGAATTTAAATATTCGCTCTCGTAAAATGTGGAATGCGAGGAATGTTGCAAAGAGGATGTCAAATTAAGCAGACCACTCATTTGTTAAAATTGGAATTTATAAACAGAATTACTGGTTTGTAATAATAGCAAAAATGCAACAAAATGTCCAATTGTTGATAATTTTGCGTTGTTATAATGAATGGTTGTATATAACAATGGGTCTGCTATGAATAATGAAAATTAATAGCAATATAGTCTTGAACGTTTATGGTTAATAATTCTTCAAATAGTAATTGCTAGTACTCGTTAGCACAATTAATCAGAGTTAGTATTGTTCTAATATGAAGGGACCTAGAGTGTATGGAGTTGTTTCTCCAATGTTATATTGTGTTGTGGTGATGTGTAAATAAATTTTTCTTTGCTTGATCACCAAGTAATAATTAAAAAGAAGGATTTTGATTGCAAGAAAAAACTGGCTGCATTGAATTAATGCGATTAGCGGCAATTTGAATTTTCATTTAAAATTTTTTCCTTTTTTTATAAATAATAGGAAAAACTCCTAATAATGTCAATTAAAACAAACGCTTTTACTCATTTTATTTGAAAAAGTTGCATTGACATGTTTTTTAACAATTTCATATGCCTGACATGAGATATTCCAGAGTCGGACACGTAGAAAACCTGACTTTTCTTCTTTGTACATTAAAATCAAGAATCAATTAAGTAATCTTTACTGCAGCCTCATTCTAGGAAAAACATTACATGTTGGTCCAACAGATATCTCTCCGCTAATGGCATTCTAAATAATTTTTAATGGTTTCAATCCAAAATTAGCAGTTTTGCTGTGAAAATGAAATACAAGATGACCTGTATTATTGAAAATTGTGTCTAAATAGCACTACTTGAATCCAGCTGAATGCAACAATACAGCCTAAAGGAATGCTAAATTTATATTTTTTTAGAGTAATCAACGATGACTAGGTAAAGGTTTTCGAAGCTTAGAGCGAATTAGAGAACTAACGTGGTAGCATGAAATGTCTTTTTTTATAGTAGCTTATTATAGACAGGTAAATAAAAACATTTCAAATATCTTTGAAAGAACCTACAAAATATGTTTGAATTAACCGTTTTACCTCAAATTATGTAACTGCCATTTTTTGAATTTGTGCCGATGTCCATTGCACAGCGCATTTCCCATGCTGAATGTCTTGTTACATGTGTGACGGATGAACCGAATACCGGTTTCTTGTGAAAATTCGGATGATATTCATCTGGAGTCCTACCTGAAAGATTCCAATTCAAATACGGTTGTAACCCTGAATAATTCAAATACTCATCGTGAAGATCCTAGTTTGAGTAATAAACCACGGTATTTTTATAATTTTATAGCTATTACATTGCTTTTGTAGTAATTGTGTGAATGGCATAGCTAATCGGAATAACGTCAATAAAAATCCGATTGCCATTCGTGATTCGTCTCTCCATCACTGTGAATCGATTAAGAAACGCGATACTAAGACACCTTCTCATTCTGCAGAGGGTACTTTATGCAAGTTGTACTCGGTTTATCTTGTGTACTGGATGCAACCTTTTTTTCCTTTTAGCAATTAACTTTACGTTTTATAAATCCAGCATTTTTCGCGAGCATTTAATGTCAACTTAGCTCACCTGAATGCCCTCGCTGGACCAGTGTTGTGCTGGCCATTGTTCTGGGCTGTAATGTCGTTTACTATCTTTTAACTCTGCATCCTCAATTTTCAATTTTTCTCTTTTGGCATAGTTTTCATAAACTAACCTATTTAGAAAATTTATCTGTTTTATAAATAGCGCGAAACCATTTTCCCCAAAAACGCAAATTAAATTATTGGAAGGTCTTAGGAAGAAATATACTTGTACCAAATTCTTTTTTACACGCCGCTGTAAATGGCATAAAATGAATTTTTTTCAGTAGCCTTATTTCGTAGAGCTGAGACGTGGAATTTCACGGATGGAATTTGGCATGCTTTTAATGTTGACTTTGAAATCCATTAATGATCAAATGTATGCAAGTCTTTGGACTAGAGCACTTGATTTCAAAGTTGATTAGTCCTTTTATTTTCGCTTTTTAGATCTTGATAAAATGGATCAGCCACTCACTAGTGGTGGGCACTATCGACACTACCCACCTGCAGACGAGGCGGGTGGTGATAGTTCTGACATGTTGAATTCATCTTCTGTTGGGGATGATCAACTTTCCCGTAGGCGTTTAGTTACAAACAACAGCCTAAATCTTCATGACTCTGATATTGACAACGAAGGTCCTGAAGGCGAAGACGACGATGATGGTAATGACCTCTCATCGGTCTATCATTTGCGGCGTCAACAGCGACGTCAGCAACGACTGCGCCGGCGGGAAACTTCTTCGTCCGCCTGTGGAGATACGGCATCGAGACGTCGCCCTCCAATTAGTCTCTCTCGATCTTCAACACGCGTTGGCCAATCTATTCCTCCACCTCCCTCTGAACCACCTCCTTCTCTTCCTCCCTGTGGAATTGATTTGAGCAGTCAATATTCAATGTACCCTATATTAGGACCTGGTGGATTTAATCTAGCTGGTCAGCAAGTTACCGCTTCCCCACCTACCATGTTGCCGATGGCTGGCCTTTCACTCAACTACATGACACCGGGTAAGCTGCAATACTTTGAACAGCATTTATTCTTGACATTATTCCAAAGTAATTGATATACTCAATTTGCTATTGATTATCTCTCGGTGGTGATTACCCATCTAGGCAAGTACGCCAAATTGCTCTGTTGTACAAATCTTAACGTTTAAAATTAAAGGAAGTTTATCCACGAACTCCTACTCTCACTTGTTTGCTTTCATATCCTCTACTGCGCTGCCTACGTATGCTTAGCTTCACAATGAGTGTCCAGTAGTTATAAAGTACACTTATCATTTTCACCGCGATTAAGTCCACTGCCCACTATGCCGCATTCTCCAGTCCTTTTACTGTCTTGCAGAAACTTTTCTGTTATTTAAGTTCTTGGCAATAATGCGGGTCGGTTCTCATTTTTTTTAAACTACACACTCGAATACCAAGCACAATTGTTTTGACGCGAAATGTTTATTTTAATGGTAGCTAGCACCTGCACTTGTGTAGAAGTAATTGCTTGTCATAATGTCATTGTAAGAAAAAATGGACTTTTGTGCTTCCTCTTTTTGCCTTTACTAATAACCCACAAAATAATTTCACCCGAAAAAATCCACCACTGCATTCCTTCGTGTTCATTCCATGTGCCCTCATGAATAGCACCTCGTGTTTTAAGCGGGAATTCGGACTTGTTTGGTCAATCACATATTTTTGTGGAGAGCACTTCTCTTGTGGTGTGTGTATTTTCAAACCAAGAGCCTGGTTCCTCAAGTGGTGTAAATGAGACCGTCATTACTCTGATATCGTAGTTTAACACAACATACCAGTCTCGTTCTTTGTGGGATATCCTGAAATTGATTATTTCGAAGGCATATTTTGAAAGTAGACAGGCCTGCTAGCTGTCATGACGAAAATAATCTAATCCCCTAATTTTTAAGGGTGTTTTAATATCGGTTTCATTTTGGTTGTAGTAGTCTAATCGTTGTTGCCATTTGCCAATCTCACAATTTGAAACTTGCTTCAAAACATTTCACCAATTTGATGTTTTCCTTCTTACCATTCCTTATTAACTACCAGGATACCTTGCAAGATTTTTTCGTCCCATTAACCTTACGTTAGCTGATTCATTCTCAATTTTGTGTAGAAGTGGGTTCCACGTCATTGAATTCGAGCTTGCCCTTCACGATCACCCAATTAGCACACATCGTCCGGCTCAGTTTCAACTCACTACACCATCGTCACGCGTTTCGACACATTAACGAGAAAAAAAAACTTTTTCCCGATGTTAGTTGAAAAACCCCGTGGACGTACAACAGCAGTTTGTTCATTTGTAGCAGCAAGATAGTAGCCATTTAAAATCAAGTAATTGCAATCAGTGCGAGTGGCGCGTGTGCACTTAGCATGTTATACTAGCGGCTATTTATGAGGCTCCGTTCACGCACGCACCATCTAGCGTCAACAAAAAAATTTGACAGCCTATCTTGCAATTTAAACATATTTACTATTAATAATAATGTCAGCTGTGCTGCCTGAACTGTCCTGGTTTACTCGTAAAATTGGATCGACTATGGGCAGGTCATTAAAAATAATTTTGTTTCTATTGGTTCTATGCCTCCAAAATGCCATGCATTGGATTAAAAATTAGTTTACAAATGTGTTTGCTTAGATTCGACTAGCTACGTGTGACTGTCGTACTTCATGCTCTAACGCCATGCATTTTGCCAGCAATCCTCCATTATCTTTTTGCTGCTTCAAAAAAGGATATTTCAGGCAAATCCTGACACGCTGCTGTTTGTGCTGCCTACAAAGCTTTTTGCCTATCTAGCTGCTCAGGAACCGTGGATTGGGCGTTCATCTCTAGCCCGACAAGTACCCGATTATCACTAATTGTGACAGATCCTAACTGGATTCCGGTCCTAAAATCTCAATTAGAATTACTTTGTACCTAAAAATTGCCGAATATGTGTTGTGGTCGATCGTATTTTATTGGCGGAGTAAGGAATTCGTCGGTTTGTCAAGAAGTGGCATGGCATGAGCACAGCCTAGTCGAATGAAGACCTAATCTCATTTGTGAAACACAAGTATTACGCATGATAGATGATGTATTCAATCCATCCTTTACTATTGATTCTGTGATATTTGGAGGATAATCTGATGCTGTTCACCCAGTGGTTACTGTGTTAATCTCGCTTCTCGGATGTCATTTTTTCGCTTCAGCAGTGCAATCCAGGGCTCGCAGTTCTGAAGTACTGTTTAGACCCCACTAAACCGTAGACCACGCGAAAACAAGGGTGCATAAACAATTCTTCTTGCTTAGAGGCATCCATTGACTACTACGGCCGACGACTAATCTGTGTACATGGCGAAATCTCATCCGGCCAGTGTGAATTTCCACGCTTCACGTTCCAGCTCGGCTAATTGACTCAGATCTGAGTGAGAGGGTCCCTTGCAGACCATGAACAGAGTTAGCGTGGAGATGTGCACAAAAGTGTAACTGTTTACGCAACTCATGGCGCGCACGTGTGTGTGTGCATTAGAGATGACACTTGGCAGTCGCGCCCCCTACAGCCTACCTTCACGCAGTAACCCCTAATCCGGACACACAAGCACACAAACAGAACATTCGAGCCCATTGTTTGAACTACACTGAAATCGAATATCAAGTGGCAGGTCAATTGCATCAGGCTGCACCGCCTTTTGCACGTAGTCGATACTTGCGTCTCCGTTTGTTCACACGAACTTCAACTAAGTTTCGATCTCCGGCCCCTTAAATTCTCTCAATTGAGAATCCGATTCAAGGTCATTAAGCGACCCACTACGGACAGGCGCATGCTGTTAGCTTGGATTGCCATTACTCTGAAATTTGGAACTTGGTTCCCGAATGTGGTAGGGTTCTTTTGGATTAGGAAATTTCTCGTGGTCGTTTACAACCCCTTAATAGTTCGTTTCATTAACCTTCTTTACGGACTGATAGGCAATTGGCCAACTCTCGGGAATTACTTTCGACAATTGCGCGCCTCTTTTAAATGGCCAACCTTGGTCGCGGCATGCTGCAGAAAAGTACGCGCTGTTTTGTCCTGTCAAGTTTTTGACACGCGATTGTAAACTGACTTCATTCTTATGACGTAAGGCTCCAAAGTCCTGCCTAGCTTCTAGATTTTTTTCTGCCAACTGATATATTTCGAATTCCTTTCAATATTCCCTATGCTGTGACAGTTTAAATGGAACACATTATCGTACAGGAGTATTTTTTTTCTGATACCAAACTGTAAGGCCCTTGTTTTCCTTTTTTGTCACTTAATACTTTGAAAACGACCTTGGTCAGTTAACCCCCCCCCCAAAAAAGAAGCTATCTTTATGCAAACGCAACTCCTTTTTATGTTTGTCAGTAACGATTCTCAGGTAGAATGTCATCTGTCGTAATGTGCTGCTTAAGTTTTTATTTCATCTAATCACGCCCTTCGTGATGCTGGTTGGTTGATGTACGGTTGTCCGAAAGCACATCACCAATGTGGCGTTAAATGCTCCACTTCTGCTGTTTACCGAGCCTCAGCTTTCACCCTTTCTGGCATGAATGCAACCATGTGCTATGCTTTCGAGGCTGGTTTTAGTCTGAACGCCTCATTCCTTTCTTCCTGTTGTCACGGGCAGCAGATTTTTAATTTCTAGTGGCGATACGCCGCAAAGTAGTATTCGTGCAGTCTGCTTCATTCTACCCCAATTTCTGCTCTGGTTGCACGACTTCTGATTCTTGCAGACAATGCTCGATGCGTGTTTATCGTACAGCAGCGTCCCATGTGTCTATGCGACTTCCACGTACTTCACAAATTTCCTAACACCAAATACAACTGAAGTACTCCGTGTTTGACGCCACCTGTCGCGCGAAGTGATCTCTGGCGTGCCGTTTTCTATGACTTTGCTCTCCCACTATTCTTCCACCGTTATCTCCCAATTATCGTCACCTTTCTCGAAGTCGACGCTGGTTTAATCACATACCCGTACTCTTCTAAATCGGAGGTCAACACGGTCCTGCATGATTCACTGTCTTCCAGTCTTCCGTGTGTGAAGGAGTTTTGGAGACGTGGTGATTGTGTTTTTAAAATCCAACCGCTCAGTTAGCATAGCATTTGACCCAAAAAGGTCTTTTTTTTGTAATCCCCGATTAAGTGCTGTGTATCGTGAATATCTAGAAGGCCACTCAGTTTTCTTTAGAAATTGTTTAAATGCTTCCTTCCTGTAATCACGAAGTGTATGTAACCTTTACTTGTGATTGTGCCACCCGGGTTGTTTTTGCGTGTCCTCGCCATCTCTTAAAGGTGTCTAGAAAATTGGCCCATCTTTGTCTCAAAAGACCCCTTGTGTGGCGCAGTTGTGCAGTTCTCGAAACGTTTATGCCTTATTCAAGCCTCATCAGTCACGACAAGACGACTGGTGCCAGCCCGAGCCTTTTTGGCAGGGAACAGTGACGGTGTAGGCGCTATCGGTGTCAAAGCCATTTAAAATTTGCGACGGAGACAGTTTGTTACGAGGGAAAACGTTAGTTGACTAAGTGCCACTGAATGATGCGAAGTCAACTTGAGGCAAGTGTGGTGGTACGTCAGTTTCAATCTTATCGCACAAACCTGCGATCGATTTCTGCCTTTCATCGTTTTCATGTTTGGCTTGCTTGATACAAAAATGTTTTTCGTGAGCATTTTTGAACGTTCCTAAAATCGTATTCGATCCGGAGTATTTCTGTGCTCGAATAACAATAATCAGGGCTCTCAGATGCCATGCTGCTAAGGGGAACAGAGGAACAGCAAATCCAGTGAATTTCTCTTAAAAAAAATCAGAAGTACTCCATAATTGTCGTGTTTCAATTCGTCGGGAGGCCCCCAGAAGAGTAGTTACGGAGATTATGGTTTACAAACAAGTGGATGGGCATTATTCAAAACTTTTTAAGCACTAACATGGAGTGTCCTCAGTTCATTCAAAGCAATGCATTGCATCAGCCATTGCCTCGTGGGTTTGTGTTGAAGTGAACAGTCACCGTAGGTTCCTGGCATCCTTAATGACAAGCACCGCCTCAAGTTATGCAACTTGGGGACATGTCAGTGGCGAGGGTTAGCAGAGACGCTCGTGACCTCCCACCGTATCTCCGGATTATCGCTGAGTCAACTCCGCCATCCGCTGTTCTCTGCACGACGTACCGGCCTTTTCGTGGTTACTGCGCGTATTTTTGCATGAAAGTGTGGCGCGTTACAAGCATGTCAAAATTGATTTATTGCCTTCGTTTCGCCGTTTTTTTGACATGCATTTCACCAGTTGTCAGGGCTTGGCTGTAGCTCCAACGCAGTGGTTCAAATTGTCTGTTCTTTTGACAATTGTGCTTCTTCCTTAACCACTATCCAGCCTCGAGGCAGAAGATGGCGATCATTCTTGGTCTTCGTGTTTGAATGACTTTGACAGCTCATTTCGAAGCGCCCGTCATCAGTCTAAGAGTGTATGTAGGTAGAAGGCTCGTGATGTGAACTCGAAAGTGGTGAATTATCGCAGTACCTCGTCGTGTGGAGCAGGGCCATGAAGTGTTACACAACAAATGGTCGACAATAACCGTCTTTCTACAACTGTGTCACTTGTGCAGATGGATGAACTTTTATTACGGTTTTAAGAAAGATAGACATTAATCAAGACAGGCTACTGTACAACAATGACAATCTGGTTAAATTTGAGGAGGCACTCGAAATAGTAGCGACTGAAGGTCACCAAATGCTCATCGGTGTCGGCGCCTCCGCTACACCCCGAACGACCGCCCACCCACTTGCGAACGCACACATCAATGAACACACGAGCGTGTGTGGCCATCATGTTTTTGCACACACACGCACACTGTGCGGTTAGGTTTAAGACACATGTTTGCCGTGTTTTTGCAAACTCGTTAACTTTGTGTGCACCGCCAGTTCCGACACCTGATAGCTCCGCCACGAACCCCTGGTGTGTGCGTGGTCACTGGCGAGGGACGTATCTCAACGGTTGCGTCCTCATGGTAAAATTTGGCTGTACAAGTCCAAACGCGGGCGCAAGCTGTTGGCTGTCAAGCGCTTTTATCATCGGAAGGGTCTTTACAACTAGACCTATTGCATTTATTGTGTCAGGGATGGAGTCTGTAGCACCTTGGAGCGATTTCTCGCCCGCATTCGGCTCTCTGCATCCAACGTCCTTCCAGCTCTTCCACAGCCTTTTTAGCCTGAGATCAGTCTTCTTCGCAGCATCCGCAGACCGTACTGTGATCGACATTCATGGTTGCCTGTGCAGTCCTGCAGCAACGACGACAATGCTTTTATTTCTGGCGCAGAACTATCAACCGACGCTGAGTGGTGTTACTTTGTCCACTAAAGGTGGAAGAGTCAAATGACTTGGCTGTTTTTTTAATAAATTAGTTGACAAAAACAGTCGCTAACTTGTGACTGGTTTGGCCTTGATTCTGTATGCAGGAAGTGGTTGTGTCAGAAAAACAACGCACGGTCAAATGAATCCAATCGCACGACTTGTTAGTTTTTCTGTAACTAATTCCTGTTCTCTATTGCAATTTAAATTGCCTCCTCGCTGTTTTTTACCATTTGTAACCTTCGAATTAGGAAAAGCATTATCCATACCAATCCAAGTTTTTAATGGTGTAATCAACAAAATGTGGCTATTCGTGCCTGAGGTGACTCACTTGTGGGAAAAAACGCGTCCGTGGTCTCCTGTCCTTTTAATTATCCAGAATTTCGGAAAAAAATAGTGCTGCAATTATTATTATTATTAGTCACTGCTTGTTTGTGTTTTTTAAGAAGTAACGTAAAGAAAAAGCGTAGAATTAAACAAACGTGTATTTGAACGAAACGGCTTGGCCCGGCCCGAAGCACTGAACTCGTCGGGAAGCGTGCGAAGCGAGTCGTCTGTAGGAGCTATTTACACGAAAATGTTGGAATGCCCTTGGGCATGCGCGCGCCTACCCACCGCCCAGTCACTCGAGTAACAGACACCCGATTTTGTGCGTGTACACGCACTAGGATTGGACGCGTGGGTTTTCGTGCATAATTTATCCACGCTGTACCTGTCATTGTGTTGTCCAAACCACCATCCCCAATCAGCGAATCTGCCGTGGGGTGGAGGTGGGGGAAGGGTGATCTGGGCCTGTCTCACTCCCCATGCTGACATTACGGCGCTCAGAGCCTTCTGCAACAGCGTAACCTTTCCGCCACAGCAAAATCCGTTCGGGGTGTGAGCGTTCATGAGCGAGTGTATGAATAAGGCTTCGGCCTTATAAGTGGCCGGCGCGTCTTTTGTTGTAGTTGCTCACTTTTTCCCATCGCTGGCGGTATGCCTGTCAGGTGGTCGTCTTTTCTACTAAATTGCACTCCAGATAATTTACCGATCGGGGGGGGGGGCGGGGGTAATGGCCTCTCCCCCGCAGTTGCCCCTGACGGGTTTCTGGCTCAACCTAACTTCGGTAGTTCAATATCCTCTGTTTTCTGATTCTATTATTCATTACTTCGAGTCCTGGAAAGTAGGTCTGATTTTGTCTGTGTACGTTTTTTGGTTTTGCAAAGATTTAGCCTAAGTAACACAGTGGGGTGTCCAGATGGGGCTGATGCCTCATTCTGTCGCCCCAACTTCTCTTTTTCTGCGCAATAAGGGATAGTGACAAGCGGAAGTTGACTGCAGTCCTTAAAATGACACCTTCGACTCCACCTAACCCTCCACCCCCAACGAGAAAACAGATGCTACCCGGTGGAGGATGGTCGTTCCTATCTCGGCTATTCCATTTCTGTTGTCGATCCGACAGCCATAAAATGCCACCGCTCTAGCTGTGGCTTGTCACTTTCATAAAGCCCCGTCCCTTCGAGCAGGAATGTCAAGTTTCGATGCAAATTCATCTCAGTCGAACCTCGAAGTCGTTTCTCCGCCATTTCTTTTGGCTTGATTCTAAAGGAATTTAAATAGCATCTATAAAAATCACTTAGCAAAAGTGTATCCTTTTGACCAAACTTTCCTCCTCTTGAAGCTGGTCCTGTGTGTCTATCCCCCAACTCAAATCACACACGGTTTGCTCTCTCTCTCGTGAGATTCTTAATTGGGGTCTGAGCTCAACCGTAGTGTGACCCCTGTGTTAGGCATTCGACCAGTCCTTCAGTCCACCTTAATGTTTCCGAAAGTCAGGTCAGTTTTTACGAGGTCGCTCGGCAAACCAGTTCGTCATTATTTAATCAGTGGTTCCCCAGTCGACTAAATGGCATCCACACATAGTTTCTGTAGACATTTTGTGAAGTGGATTGGTGATTACCGGTTGGGAAATCAGTGTTTGGGCGTGCCTTTGTCGTATGATGTGCATTGCCTGCTGTAAACAACCCGAACACGTGTAAATCCTCGCAGCATGAAGTAAACAACCACCACCACCACCACCTTAGCTGTGGCACTACTGTGTCCCCTCTCCAACCCCACGTGTGTCTGGGCAGGCAAGTTGTTCTCACGTCAACCGTCACTTTTACTGGTTGTCTGCTACCATCGTCACGGCAACACACATTTCCTTGACACCACTGCCTAGGTCGCATTCTTTTCGTTAATGCGAGATTGTGCGGATTCCTGACACTCAGTTTCCAATCCCAAACACTCGTGCTGGTGTCCAAGTAAGCACTCTGCTCACTGTTTTTATGGTAAATCGCTTATTTGTGTTCTATTTTCGTCTATACTTTCGCTTGGAATCGTTAGTAACCCTCAAGAATTGTTTGGCCGTCGTACTTTTGTTCGATCCATCCCTCTTGTCCACTCATTCAGTATTAACTTCTGGTCTAACAATGACTTTATGATTTGCCAATGGGGTATCATTGGTCTTTTTGTAAATCCTCTCGCGCTTTGTGTTCGACTCCGTACAAGACCTCTCACTGTACCAGATGAGGTGGAAGTAAAAGTGCTTCAACTTTTTTTTGGCAATTAACAAGAAATTAGCTAGGTGTATTGCATAAAGTTGGTTTGCACTAATTCCCCTGATGTACGTAGTGCATAGGTGAAAGTCAGGTGTTGCTGTGAGCGTGAATTGGCCATTCCACTTTCTGCGTATCTATTTGGTGGCAAAATTAAATCAAACGCAACACGAAATAACTGAACGTGGAACGAGATTGTTCTCCTACTTAGATAAGTTCGAGTCGTTATAATGCTTCTACAAGTGACAGTCTTTTGGGAGAGGAAACTTCATGCCGTGTAACTTTTGTAAGGAAGCTGAGTTCACCCATTGTCACCGAGGCTCACCCAGGATAATGAGTTTCAAACTTCGGCTTCACCTTCTTCAGCACTCTCGGTCACCGTCCCGTGGATACACAGTGACTGAGGCTGGGTAGCTTGTTACATTACCTAGTTGTGCCCGCCAACTTTTTTATGTTCCTCACTGTCTATGTTGGATGTGTGAACAGAAGTGGTTATTTTCCTTGCTCTATTGCTTTGGTGATGGTCCGGTTCCCTTTACTTTAGGCGGAATCATGAACCCCGCGGATGGAAATCAGCAGCTTCTTCAAATGCAGCAAGCTGCTCTCCTCCACCAACAGCAGCACCAGCAGCAGCAGCAACAACAGCAGCTTCACCAACGACTCGTATCAGCCAACGCAGTGGCCGCAATGGGTGTCGCAGGGAACCCCTATCTTCAGGTAAGCACGCTACTTACCTCTAAGGCGGGGTGTCTACCAACGGCTCAGCTGTCGTAATGTGTTTGGGTTATTCTCGAGTGCGTGGTCTTGACGAATCAGGTGCTTTTGGGTTAGCGCTCTCTCCTGATGCCGTACAATATAGATCGAAACTCATGCACTGATTCAATTTACCATCCATCCTCTCAAATTGTTAAGCCTCGGTGAAAATCACTGCCCTTCAGTGAAAGAAGGAAGACCTTAAGATAATCAAGATGTGGCGAAAAATCCACCGCGTGCAGTCGGCTGAAAAGAGGAGAACACCGAGATTTCGCCCCAACCCCACGTATGGCGACACGTGAAATAAATCCGCACTGCTTAATGCAGTTCTTTTGAAAAATGAATGGCTTGTGACGCACTGCTTGCATTAGGTGCCGGAGGCGTTTTCCCCTATCTCTCCAATTTGATTTATGCGTGTTTACGTTAAGGCGGTGAGACACTATCGCGAGGGAGTCGTTTGATGATAATGCTGAGGGTTTTGGAGTTTGTGAGTTGTGCGTTTGTTCATTGAAATGGTCTGGGGATATGGTGATGTTCTAGTAAAGCAACATTTCTTGTTGAGATTGGTGGACGGTAGAGTTGTCGTGGTTGACGCAGACCCGCGGATGACACGCGCTCCACAAATCATTGGAGTTGTGGTAAGTGCGCCAATGGACACTGCTGTTACATGCCGCGAATACCGTATCGGCGTGTTTTGGGGGAGAAATCCATGGGAAATTTGCAACCCAAAGTGACTTCTGCAGTGGGTTTGTTGTAATTTCACATAACCTCGCCTCACCCACAAATGTCATCCTCTGGTAAGTTCCTTTTATGGCGAATTTGGCCCTTTAATTGACGACTCTTGCTTTCAACTGACCATGTTTATTCTCCCGCCGAAGTCATCCACTTGAACTGCTCGAAGTGGCTGGTAATAATTTGTCGTCGGTAGTTGAATTAAATTTTGTGTGTGTGCGTTATCTTATCTTGGTGTTTTTTTTCGCCTCTGCAAGCACTCATCTAGTCAGATTTTTCCCTCACACGTCAACGATTTAACCTACTTCTTTCTCTCCAAGCATTGATTGGATCGTTTTCTTTCAAAGATAGATATTTTTGTGACTCCGGAAGCTAATAATAAATTCTACACTGTCACGCCTATATTAGGCCATGTGGAATCAGAATCCTTACTAAATCGCATGCAAATCGATTCCTTATATCTCATAACGGGAGGAGTTGTCTTAATCCGGTATATCACTGCTCGCATCATTTCTCGTTCCAGTATTTTGATCATTGTCACCTTTTTAAGTGTATTTTAAAAGTTCACGCAATAATTGGTTATAATTACTGTCGACGCACTGTCTTGCTTAAATTCGACACAAATTAACGGCCTTGGAAAAAGCGGTTCGTAGTTGTTCGCTTTTTATTGATGTTTTATTACTTTTTCCTCACTTGACTCCTCCTTCAAACTGCATTTGCCGCCTATATATATAAAGTGCGGGATTTCTTGTTTGAGCTACGACCCGCGCTGACAATTGTGACTTTCAGGCGCAATGGTTAGTCTCTTACCAGCTCCCCTGACCCCTTGGGACCTCGTATAGCAAGACCTAACTGAGTTAACTTGCTGCTGGAAATTGCCGCTCCTTTCATACCTTCCGGCCGCCGTTTTGACTCATCTCGCGCTTTCAACCGGCTCTGTGTGTTTTTGATAAGTGCAGCTTTCGCTAATCGCGTAATTCCGGCGACAAATGACACTGCAAATAGTCTTCTTTCTCCGCAGACAGGCAATATTTGCTCTTCCCAAAAGCCGTCTTGTTTGGAGTTTAATCAGTGAACGTCAAAGCATTCTACCCTGGATGGGTTGGCATCTTAAGTGACAAGTTTTACTGACTGCAATTAGCTCAATCCGAGATCAGCGTGCCACACTGGTGGGGCCTTTGGGCGACACATTGATACTCCTGCACTTGAACAGTTAGCCATCTGCACGGGATCGCAGCATCGTAGACTGAAAATACTTCTTTCTTTTCAACCAATCAAAGACTTCTAAATGATTTAGCACGAGTACATTCCTCAGGATCTAGAAGGTTTCTACAAAATTGACAACTCAATTGTTGTAGAATGTATTCCATACTTGGCCTCTAGGTGAGTAAACAGATTTATGGTAAATCAGTAAAGTAGATGTTTGTTGCACTTTGTTTTTTAAGGCCAAAATTGTGCAGCACAATTTCCCAGTCAGTGCTTTTTCAGCATCTTCTCCTCCGCACAAAATTTATGGACCTGCGAATATTGACTTCATCGGTATTTCCACCATCTGAATAAAGCTACCTTATGAATTTAAAAAAAATGAAAAAATACCATTTCTAAGTGGAAAAAAAGAGGTGCTGAGGTCATAGTCAACGAATGCGTTGTAGGAAAGCATTGCTGCTTCGTGCATAATTCCACCACTGTGACTTCTCCCTTAGCTAATCATCTTAGTAAATGTGCTGTTTGCGTTTAAGTGTATTTTGAACACCAGCAGGCTGTTTTGTGGCGTTCTGCATGTTTCCGTTTAATCTTTTTTGCCGTAAAATTGTGCAAGGGCTCGCCTATGCACCCGACTTGCCGAATTCACTTGGACGCCATGACCTTGAGGCCCAATTTGTCAAGTCGTATCTGCCTTCGGGATATGTCCATTCTACTTTTTGTAGTTTGTTTGACTGTATTTTAAAAGTATGTTGTCCTTGTGACTTTTAAATCACTGCATGAACGAACTTGTGGATCTCATTTTTAAGGTGTTTTGCTGATGTGTGGAGCGATTTTCCACCAAACCATCTGGTTTAATCTGCGTGTCTGGCGCATTCGATCGGGTTGCTCAGCTTGGTTTCTATCTAGGGACTCAAGGCAAGGAATGAGATAATAGGATGTGGGAGACGCAGACATTGTTTCCATCCTCATTGGTCCAAACACTCGCGCTGTTCTAGAAACATTGAGGGTCAATGAGGATCATGGGTATTTATATTGAGAATCACTATTCAGACGAGTCTCTATAAACTTTTGGAAGTGGGGAAATAAATAAACGTTTCGTTCCACATCAACCATCGCGCATTCTCTTCCCGTCCCTCCGAGATTGCGTCCCTGAATCCGGATTCAACGTAAAGCATTTTTCGCAACTCTCACACGAAGACATTTCGAAGAGCTTGATTAAACATCGTTTACGAATTTACGGACCAAAGATCTACTGTACATTTAGTTTAATTTCTACCAAGTCTAAGCTTAAAGCGTATGCTTGTGGCCCCTAATATCGTGGTCGATCAGGAGTGCTTTGTACTAGGTATTTACGCGTATCGAATCTTCCTTTGATGGGTGATTTCAATTTTTTCAGGGTAATGGTAATTGGCGTTGCAAATCCTTGTTAAGCTTCCCCTGATGAAAGCGTCGGCGATTAAAATGCATAGTAGAATGACTGAGGTGATCTGGCAGATGTGTTAGATGCATGCCTTCCGAGTTCTAGCTTTATCGCCCGTCTTTTGTATTCAGCTGTTTCTAAATTCTGCTTTAATGTCATCTTTAATCGCTCGTTCGATTCCCTCTGTGCTGTCTTGCTTGGTAGACCCTCATTTGCTTAAAACGTGCAATTAATAAGTTAGATGGCACATTTACTCCTCTTATCACACGCGTCAGAATCTCTCCAGTCCACTAATTCACGATTATCGCGGCCTTTCATTTAACTCAGATACCGACAGCGACTCCGACCGACTCCCACCTCCCCCCTCACCACCCCATCGTCCGAACGCAGTTCAGTATTTTTTTTTTTTCGAGTTTCCGAGATCGCGATGACTGCAGTCGCTCGTGTGCGCGCTCATGTGCTCCACACACATGCCACGAGCTCTCATGGCCCCACCATACTGGGGCGGGCCGCACCGACAGCGCGGAGCGGCGGTGGGGGGGGCAGCGGACGGCGCGAGGACGAGATGTCCTCCGGCGATAGCGCACCTGCTGCTGCCTACTTGCGCGAATCTCACCCAGCCATAGTCTTGCCATCAAGCCAACGCGGAGAGCGAACGAGAGCCCTTATCGGTGCTCTCCAGCCCTCGATAGCGCGTGTTCACACAGCCATAAACGCCTCCTCCCCCCACCCCGCTAAAACTGAGTCACGACCATTAACCGTGGAAATGTCTGGTTTCTTTTATCTGAATAGGGTGTGGATGAGGGGTAATCGTCTGTAGTCAAATCCCACTGTGGCTCGGCCTTTGGTTATGTTTCAAACCAATTGTGTTACGAAGCAGTTAAATAGTCCCAATTAGAATACAGCAATCAAAACACCTACAAACACTTTGACACGAAAAAGTATTGGTGCTGAGTATATTCTTTTTTACGATAGTTAAATGAGAAGAGGGCAGCCTGCCTGATTCCGGGGGCCGATCTGCGGTTGTAAACCTTTAATTTTATAGAAGTAAGCGTCAAAAGGCAGCCTTGGAGTCTATTAGGGAGTTGATGACGCGGTTTGTGAAATTAAGAAAATATGTGTCTAGGGGGCATCTCATGGCTTCCAGAACAAAATTCTACTTCTTTTCCCAACACTACTGCGCCCGGTCGGCCTCAGTAGTCGAAAAATAATCCTTTCCGACACCAACAGGAGGTGGTCTGTTCCCTGATTTAACCAATTCAAATTACGATCTACTTATCGATCCACAAGCTTTTGTATTTGGACTAAATTATTACGTTTCCCATTAACATCTTCTAAAACGTACTGCACACCTGTAACGACTCCACAAACATTTTGAGGAGCTTTATTTTCGTCCGATTAGGTGATGTGTGTTCTTTGCACGATCCTCCTCCCACTCCTCCGAATCAGTAGACGCCTCAACTGTCGACGAATGCAAACCTGTACCAACTAAGGCACACCTCGTGTACTCGAGTAGTAATAAAAACAGACGAACCATGCTGAAGGCACGTTTCCCACTGTAAGCGAGGCTGAAGTCACCGGGGGGGGGGAGGTAGAGAAGACAAAAACGTGTTTTGTGGAAGGCTTTTCTTGGCCCCAATTGGCACTGCACCGTCAAGTTGTCAGTTAACAGGGCCTCGTTTTGTGCAGGCCCATCTTGTCTTGGCAGGATGCGCCAGGCAAATGACATTTTTTGTGTTTTGAAGGCCAGAAATCGACCGCCTGCAGTGACTACTCCGTAATAATCTAAACTTAATCTCCCCAAGTTTTTTGACTTGTCAATCATTCCTGCTTATTGAAAATGGGAATGGAAGTGATGAAATCTCCTTTTTGTACCTGAAATTTTATATGCGAACAAAAAAATACTTTCTTATAAATGATGGTAGGACGTTGGAATATTTACACAGAGGTGTGTTATTAAGAGGGTTTGCTCTTAAGCAATGCATCAGTTGTCCGTCAGCAGCTAGATATGCCAGTCACCACTATTTGGGTGCCTTGAGTATGTTCTAGCCTGTAATGAACTGCCTCCAATATTGGTGATCATGTTTTTTTTTACGTTTGTCTCACCCTCAGGGCTTTGCTACAGTCGGTCGACCCGTCCGGACCAGTTCCCTGAACCACCCTCAGATGACCCTCCCCCACCATCAGCCCCTTCAGGAACTCGGCCTCATTTCCTCGGCGGCGCTGATCCAGGCACACGCGGCAGCCCAGGCACAAGCTCAGGCCAACGCCACGCAGTCAGCCGGAGGCTCGGGGTCTGTTGTCTACGAGAACTCCTACAATTCCTTCCAACGGCAAGTCTTGCCTAGAGCTCACTGTTCTCGTAGTACTAGTATCCAGTGTCCCATTCGGAGCCTCCCCTTTCGCTTCTCACGGCGAATTCATGTTCATATCGTCACCGAAAATGACGCGCTTGTGTTATGGAATTCGTTCGTGTTGATGTAGTACAAGGTGTGGCTGGTGTGTCCTATAAGTTGGTTAGTTTGAAGTTACCACATCGTTTCCCACCCCACATGACTCCTGGTTCTCGCACGCTTTTTGGACTAAATCTCATTCTGGGTGTGCCTTTTTGTTACAATGGTGCTTTCTTTGAAACGAACCCATTTGATGAGTGCTCGTGAAAAATACGTCAACTTCGTAATTGCTGTTCCACGCTCTCTGCCACTCACTCCATTGAGGTTTTTGCCAGCAATCTTGTTCTACATCACCCATCGTTTGTCTAGTTCCTCTGCTACGACCAATTTACACCACTTGACGTCAAGGCGCAGTTTCGTCTCAATCGTAGGTGTTTCGAACCTTTGTGAGACTATAAACAATTGGACAATGCAGACGTCAGAACGCTTAAAATAAGTCAAAAGGTTTACCGCTTCCGTCACTGCTAGATGCATTAAAAATTAATGCCGATTGTTACAATGTATCAGCTCAATTTTTAGCAGTATCAAATTAAATGAGTCCAGATGGTCAAGTCTTCCTTAAAGCCCTTTTAGAGAGTGCACACAAAGTCAAGTGAAATGCCGCTTAGCACAATCTTTTTCCAACATTTAATTTGCCCAGACAATTTTCCTGATTGTGAATTGGCTTCCGCAAAAGCCGCAGGCGCCTATTGGTTTGAATTTGTTTGTTATTTCGTGAACTTCATTTCTGGTGTGTTGGGTAATCTCGTGTAATCAGGTTAAGCAGACTTGTCCGACTAAAATATCATGATTTTCTTCAAGGTAACCCCTTTCATTGCGGTTCTTTGCTCCGCGATTGTATGATTGCCTAAAAACCACTCCATTTTTAAGTTAGATGCGGCGAGCAAAGCAGATAGCAATTCAAAGCTCGTTGGTAATGCGGGCTGGCGTTGTTTTTTCCTATCGGAAAAAATAAAAACCCACTTTCAATGGACGACGGTTGCCTCAGATTCTGATTATGCGCTTTTCGGTGATTTTACATTTTGGCTTGTTGCCCCAGCCTGATCCGCGACACATTCTCGACAGACGGGCACCTCTCGTGACTGATTAAACAGTAATATCTTAAAAAAACTAAAAGCACAATTCTCAGTGGTCTCCGCAGCTCCTGCTACCTGACTGGAGTCCCTAGTGCTATTGGCTTTGTTTTTTTATTGACGTCGTGGTGTTTTCGTGTGTTATTTGCGTGACCTCATTTGTCCGAGGAACTCCCGACCATCAATCACGTTCATCGAGTGACCACAACCCAACATACCTTGTGGTACGCGCATGAACACATACACGCACACACACACACCCCAGAATGAGTCATCTACAACCTGCGCTGCGGTCAGTGCTAACGACCCGACAGTAAATGGCCGCACACACGCGCGCACCCGCGTGCACACCTGTGCCTTCCAGTCGCTCTCACCACCACCACCATCGCCACAGCCACCGCCACTACCATCACATTAATATTTCGCTAATCATAACTTACGCCCGAGTTGACCTCACCGACAGTGCGCTTTTTTGGGTTCATGACCAACTATCATGATACAGGATATGACCGCATGGCCAACCCCTGCGCAGGGCCCTAATGGGCAGACTGTGTGTCCGCCGCACACGCACATCCACGAATTCAGCAACTCCGTTTACGGTGGCGATTCCCCTTGGATGGAGTGTGGCCTCAGCCATGCTGGTGCATTCGTTGCTTGGCTTACCACATTTCGACGTGCTTGATTTTGCTAAGAAGTCAGATTTTCAGGGAAATCCCTCTATCGAGCATGTCAGCAATCTCACCAGAACGCCAACTCGGCAAGCTTGAGTCGCCAGCCAGCGTGGCTGCCAGTGATGGACCCGGGAAAATCTCATATTCAATGCTTGATGACAAATTAATGAAAGCTGCAAAACGGGAATACGCTGAAAATTTCAGCGTTTCGCCGCCACAAAGCGAGGAAGTGGTTTAACACGTGCTAAATAAAGTGCAAAATATTGTACCGCTAGAGGAGTAAACAAGACAGACACGGTCACGCTCACCAAGTCGCCTGATTAGACAACGCGAACTAGTCACAAGACGGGTGGTTTCAAATTGCTGTACGTTGTACGCGCTTCTAGAACCGATACCCCAACGTCGGTACTGCACCTTTAAATCTCCATTACCGCTGCGGTTACGTGGATTTTGGGAAAGTAATTTCTGCAGTGGAATAAGTCATTGTGTGGCAGTTTGTGCACCGTGATTACCTGCGTGTTAATTACCACCAGCGGTATTTATACCGTGCAGCTCTCCCAAGCTTAGGCTCGTGGCTTTTGTTGTGGAGGCGCCTTCGTTTACCTTAGGGAAGGTTAACGATGTCTATGCGGTCTAACCTTTCCCGCATGGGTTGGGACTAATGTGAAGGGGTGTTCTTGTTGTTTCTATTTTAGCCTATGCCAAGCCATTAACTATGTGTGCGCGTGGGCGTAAAGACCCTTCGCAGTCCACATTGAACCAAAAAACTACCGCCTGTTAGTTCTTTTTAAGCACATTAACATGGCCTGGATTGTCCTTGCCTATTCCCTACTTACTGCCATGCCCTCGAGATTATCGTTCAGCTTTCGATTTTTTTGCATTGAACGGAGGCACATTTTTCGTCTCTTAGATTGTGTTATTTTGAATGGGTGGTTCTTTTGAAAGGCCCTTCAGACCTACTTCTTGATTTCAGCTCTACGGTGTACCCCCAGTAAGATGGCCTTCCCAATGCTTAGTTTAAAGTGCTGACACGGTCAGGCCAGAAAGAAAATTAACCCCCAATAAACCAAAACGGACACGTAGCTTGTCGGCGGAAGTGAATTGTTTCGCTACTCTGTGGAAAGCTTCCTCATTCAAAAGATCCCAGGGCATTCGGAGCCATGCAGCGGAATTACTGAGTTGTTTGGGGCAAGAGGAAGTGACGAGGGCGCCTCAGCACTCATTACTGTTTTTCTAGAAGACGATAGCTCTACTGAGCCAGTTTTCTCTAAGTCACGTGAAACATGTGTTGAAGTATTTGGTCATTTAAATGCCCGCGTGTCGCCTCGACTCCCTAGAAGGCCAATCACATCAGCATTTTAATGTTGGTTTCCTCTCCACCGTGCCTGTCAATCATCTGGCGTTTGCCTAAGCATATGTCCGATTGGCCCCAATCGCAAATGTCACCCTCATCGGACGCGCGTGCGCCAGCAAGCTGGTGACGCGATTCGCTTCGAGCACTGCTGCTACAGAACCTTAGGGTAGTTCTATTCAGTGCAAAACCATTACACTAACAGCGACTGGGACAAGGAAGTTAATCTAATTCGTAACTGAAAGCTATCTACGGGTTGAATACTTTCATTTTACGTGCAGAATTGTCTGTGTTCACTTCCACTTGGCGCAAATGACCACACCTCGGTACTGTCGTCATTAAACCGGTCACGCTAGAAGTCAATTTATCTTTTCCTTCCTAAATCTATTACTCACTGCCTAAGGATTGATAAATTGAGTCTCCAAAAGTTGCAATTTATGCTGTTACACCCATCTTTTGTCTCGACATTATTCGTAGCCGCGCAAAACGTAAACCGCGGCGAACTACTCTCCAGAACAAACGGAGAGCACAGCTCTAGGAGGCGTTGACATAGTGCGGTCCATGGGGATGTTGTTGAGTTGTCGGAATCGCACCTCGAGGTGTTGAGACTACTTCAAAGATGCGTCGGCAGTTTAAAATATGCCAGGTTGACTAAAGCTACGAGGCCATCATACAGCCGAACATCCGATGTCGTGTTGTTGAATTGAGTGATTCTTAATTCCAGCAATAAGCTAAGTAATTCACCCAGTAATTGTTCCTAGAAGAAACGGTTATTTGTGGTCTCTCTCCTCCTCCATTGTTTTTTCTTGTACTAACAAAAGACTAGCTGCACATTAATTCTGGCGAGTGTGGAGAAGGGGAGGTGGTGGTAGTGTTTTATTGTTGTTGGGCATGCGAGAGCGTTGGTGGCCGAGTGGCGGTGTGTGCACAGTCTAACCTGCTGCCTTTTACGGCACTGTGGTTTTCTCGCTGCCTTAAAAACCTAATGCAGCCGCAATAGGCGAAGTCGCTTCGACTCGATAGATCAGCCCACCATTCACAGACGACCACAAGGTGAAATGATCCTTGGTCGAGGAGTTGGCGATTTGTGGAGGATTCAGGCGTAGGCTGAGACAAAATAGTTTATGAGAGCGCTAGCCTAAACCATTCTCTGAAAACCCCGATTTTGGGCTTTTTGCTAATGTATAAATTCACAATGCCGTGTTTCCCTACCTCAAATCCGCAGACTCGATTGCTGCGTTTCGGGAAAAGCGTGGCGATGGAGATTAGTAGTGTAAGCAAAACACAGGTTGTGTTCCCAGCAAAGCACCAACGCCTTGTTTGTTTGCCTTCTTGTCCAATTAAACCATCACCGTAACCTTACCTGGCCTTTCTGTGTTAGATTGTTTAACCCATTGTAGTGGTCCTTGAAGCATTTGCACTCGAACGGTCATAATGGCAGACTGGTCTCGTTGCCGGTCCATACAACTTTTGAAGCCTGTGAGTTTACTCGGACTTGCGTTCCCCTTCAAAGTAATTTGAAGGCTTCTTTCTGGATGTTTCCTCATTTAAACAAATGCAGCTGCAGGACATGGCCAGGTAAATATGTATCCTTCGGAAATCCGCACGTGTCCTGATTGTATGGACATTTGTTTTGAATAGCTGGCACGCCGAGGGCACCCGTCGCTCACCCTCTCACTTCCCGTCCTTTCTCTCATTTGTGTAATTTGGTGACGGCCCCGTCTCCTAGCGCCTGGAGGGGATGGGGCGGGCAGGTGGTGTGTGTGTGTGCACCGTGTAGTCGGGTCAACAACCAGAATGGGCGGTGGTGTGGCCTGCTTACTGCTGCCAAGGTTACGCGTAGGCTGAACCTGTGTTTACATTTGGTGAGAGGATTTATTTTGGCTCTCCCCTCCACTCCTCGGCGAGGGGGAGCCCGTCACCTCATGCACCCTCCTGAAAGTCACCTGACACGACCGTGATTTTTCGTCCAACGTCCTCCTAACTGTGTGGCGTTGAGTTAGTGCCTGTACATCTGGCCATCACCCGTTACAGCTGTTAAAAAGGGTGAGTGGATGCACTAATAAGTGATACCTAATTGGGAGATGTAGTACGATGCCAAGAAGATGCTTTAGTTTAGGTTTTCAAAATCATTTTTGAATCTCTACCTGCTTTGCATTAAAAATGCGTGCAAACGTCAGTTTGCATAGAAACCCAATTCTCAGTTTTGCGCATTCACTCACCTAGGGGGGAGGGTAGTAGAACTTTTCGTCCAGCGATTGCAAGACCATTTGGATGTCAAGGTTTGGGACTAGTACTGCGTCCACCAATCAGTGGCAGAGAAACCCAAGTCAAGCAATGAGATGGAAACCCCTGATTTGGAACCTCCCTGCTGACTACCAGCTCTCTTTCGTGAGTCGAATAAAACGACGACTTTCACACATGTGCACGAAATTGACTTTGTTGGGTCGTGAGGTTGCAGCTCAAAATGTCGAGTGGACTGTAGAATGTCTTGACTTTCTGCCATTAAGATGCAATGACAGCAACCTAAGCACAATAATCGGTAATGGCGCGACCTTGCCATATCGTCATTAGCCAAGGTTTTTGTGGATATGGATCCGGCATTTCCCAAATTGTAAATCGCAGTTGTAGTTATTGCGACCATCTTGGGTCGTCAACGACAGCTTCACGTGCATAAGCCAATATTGATCAGAAAGGGTAAAGGGAACCAGGTACACGGGTCCTCGAGCAAAGTCGGCTAACAAAAGCGTAGAATGTGCTAATGCGCAAGCCTGATGCATCCCTCTGGGATACCGCCGTCATGTAACGTTGGGGAATGCGTGCTGTCGGCGGCACGGGTGCACCCACCTCGTTCCGGAACATCGCCGGCTGCTGACCCACCTAAAAGGTAGATGCGCCTTTCAACGGTTACACGAAAGCACAAGCAGAATTCGTGTATCTGGCTGTTTAACCACAGTTGTAACCACTAAAAGTGCTAGCTCGGTAGGCAGGCTCGTGTAAGCCGACGAGCGTAAGTCATCCGTGTTCTTGAGCCTTGAGATGACTGATTCGGACGTAATTGGTGGTCTGAATTCGGTGTTGTGGGCAGAATAAAGGGGGTGGACCTCTACCAGAATCAACGAACCTGCTTTTCAGAACCATATCCCCTCTGCTCGTACCAGACAGTTTGCTGTTCACGTAGCCGCACATTTTAATCCAGCAGCAGCAGTGTTTGAAGTAATCTCATTGAATTTATGCTATTTAGCATAAAACTACTATGGACTGACATTAGTTAAGCCTTGATTATTGCCCATTCATGTCTACTTCGATGCAGGTCAGAGTATGTGATATTGAGAAAGTGGATTTTGGCATTTGTGTAAAGAGAGGTAAACGTTGTTATTGCCTTGGCGCCCGCTTAAAACCATCGACCTGACGTTTCCAATTATTTGATCACTTTGGTTTTACTTTTGGTTAATCCGATCAGGATCATTGTATGCTACACCAAGGGCATCTGTTCTGTAAATTCAATTGCGTTTAGACCCAAAACCGCTGCCGTGCCTCTGCTATTCAACCCCTTCGACCATTTCGGTAGATTTAAAAGCAGAGACCCGATGATAAGGCATCCCGTTCAGCGTACAGACCTGCAAACACGGAGCTCTGTGTTTCCTAAGCCTTTCTCATCGCTCTTTTTTTGTCGTAGTGCGTGCAGTTTACTAGAATTCACATTAAGTGACAAATGTGTGCACATGTTCATTCTCAGGAACTCGTCATTCTAACGTCACACCGCGTTGTACGCCTTGTGTACAGCCCGCAGAATCGGTCTCATTCAAAAAAAGTTGCTGTGGTCAATTTCCAGCTTTTTGATGCTGAGAAATGCCTGTTCGTGAAAAGCACTGGCGCAGTATTTATTCACGCTATCGCGCTCCTTCTAACTGGGGAGCTTTGCATTCCAGTCTGCAATTGTGACGGCTTCCTAATTTTCTTGAAACTAGCAGGAATTACGCTGAAAATGGAAATTAATGTCCAATCCGTTCACTCAGTGGTGCGGTTGGTGGCCAGATTTTTAATTAAATTCCACAATTAACCCAATGAATTAACCTATGAGATTTCATGTCTTCTCCATTTCCTCCACTTTAGACTGCCTCCCGGGAGCTGTATGGGTCAGTTACCGTCCACAGTCAGTCAAGACCTTCTCTCCGCTTCAGCGGGAGGCGCAACGAACGCAGACGACTCTATTCGTCTCGGTGACAACCAGAACTCAACCCCTTCCACCACGAATGGTGGAGGTGGCGTCGGTGGAGTTGCCGAACCCCTGGCGAAGTCCCCGTCCGTGGCTGCAATGGTGTCGGCTAACTCCCCCAGTGCCCTGGTGACCTCGCCTTTGATGAACTTCTACGAAACCGCGGGTGGTAGCACAGGTGGGACCTACGTTACCCATCCAGCGAACCTCGGGGCCATGGTTAACGTGCAACGCGTTGGAAAGCCTGGTAGTCCTGGAGCTACTGGCTCACCGTCAGGCGCGAGATCGTTTTGGCGGTGCTCCTGGCAATACTGGGTCATTTTGATCTGCGTTCTTGCCTTCCTTCTAGCTGTCAGCTTTGCAGTGTTCTTCTCCGGTTAGTCACCTAATCCAGTTGAAGCCGTTTGAATTTGAATTTGCAGGATTCTAGCGACTTTTACTAATCTCTCACTAACTGCAAAGTCATGCCAGTAAGCGTCTAACTTGAGGACCTTTAGTAGCACATTTGTTAGCAGTGTAAACATCATAATTCTCTACTCTTAGCCTATGCGCCGTCCTGTTCCCCACTTAAACGTGGATGAAGTGTCAGTTTTTTTTTCAAACAAAATGTCTACCATCAAACGACAACCGTTGATTTGTCTGCCCCTCAACTGCTTTCTCACCGAACCCGCTCTTGTTATTACGTGCATGAGAGGTGTTTGTGGTGTTTTGAACGGCGTTTCAAAGGGACACTCGTGGATGCAGCAAAGAGGCAGAAACACCTCATCCGCTGCACTCACAGAGGACGTTTTGCCCTGGACTCACTGAAGGAAAATCTATTGACCTAACCTCTAACCCTTGGTCGGTTCTCCGTATTTATTAATAGCTCTATATGTTCCCTTAACAATGCAATATCAAGCCAGAATGAGGTCTCCTTGCTAGTTTCCCCGAATTCAACACTGCTTCTACACCGCCACCAGATACCAGGCTTCGTTGAATTGCAAATGAAGAAGGTAACTGTTCACAAGCACGCATGCACCTTTTCAAAAACCTTGCTTCTCAAACGCCGCACCTGGACGAAAGTCCTCAGTCTGACTCATTCTCATTTTAGCAAGCATCAAGACTTCATACGACTAAAGGCATTGTGGTTTTGTTGTCCAAAGACGGATGAGCCAACGGTTTTTATGAGCCTCCGAAGTAATTGACCTTCTGATTTCATCCGAGACCGTACAATTTTAATTGGCATAAATCATGACAATTTGTGGCTTGTTCCGAAGTAACTTTGACATCTATCTAATTCATTTCGAGTGTAATAGTTGATTCGTACCTCGTTGAAATCCATGCCAGTCTTCTGAATATGCTACCGTGACTGTCTCTGTGGAATATATTCGTTTGTATCCAAACAAGTGGTACAATTTGTTGTCCTTCGTTTAGTCTTTCGCTTCCTCTGGCGACTCTTAGTCCCGTTTGATCAGGTTCGACACTCTACAGCCACCGAAAAAAAGTAGTAACGTGAGTTACAAGGTTTGTCTGAACAATTCCATCATCCGCCACACCATCATTTTCATCTTGGGTTATTTTTGCACCTAGATGCACTACCTCGGGGTTTTTGATACAGAATAAACTCCCATTTGAAACCTCACTTTCGCGCCACCAAATGATGCCTGCAACCAGTTGCTTGTGTTCGTTTTCTCACTTTAGTTTTATTTTAAAAAAATCCGAGTTTGTCTATCTTCGTGGCCGAACGCACCGCCTTCCGGCTAAAACAGAAGACCGGAGACATGCAGGGGACATGGTGGGAATGCGTACTTGCTCATGCGGGTCCGTGAGGACATTCTACTGCATGTCTGTGTTAAATGTACGATTGGCACGACCGTAACAGCTACTCACAGTTGTTTATTCCAGCCTTAACATGGTAGATGGATCCCGTGAAGGTCGCTGCTGTAGAGACGCGGCTGTGGTGTAGCCTAATCGTCCCCACTGTGCCTTAAAGGAAAGAAACCGCTATCTCGACATCCCTGAGGTCTCTTCCACGTTTGCAAATGCAAAACCCATTAAAGCATTTACGACCTACCGATCCGGCGCGATCCTACTCTCTTTCATCTTCATGTCGAAGCGCTTATTTCGCTTATCCACCAGTACCGTTAAACCTTGATTCGAGCCCCATCTTTTCGGGCTTCCTGAAACAGCTGTCCAAGTCACCATTTTCGATGACTCACTATTTTCCTTCTGATTTTGTTATTACGTGAAGGCGGATGAGGAGGATGTAGGGGTGGTAGCAGTGAAGGAGGAAGGCACATCAGTGCATTATGAATCATTTACCATGCTGCGTCGGTTTTGTGTTTATGCATTTGAAAACTACGAACTCCATTGAACCTGTGGCAAAAACGACACAGAGCCGCTAGCGTGTCGTATTGCAGTGTTTTGTTACTCCTCTCTGGCCAGACACCCATTTTACAAAAAATTGTCTTAGTTTTGGGGGTAAGCACTGAAATTTCGGCGTAATTTGGAAAAGGATTTAAGATCAAGTCGAAGTGTGGTTCATGTGAAACGTCTCAGACATGATTTGACGACAGCCTTGTCCGGCTTAGTGCGCAGTGAAGAAGCGTTGTTCACCCGCGTGAAATTGACGGTTTGATAGATGTTGAATGTGGTTCTCATAGTTACTTCTTGCTTGCATGCCCATCCTAGGGTTGCTGATGGTAAAATTAATGGAAATGTAACTTTTTTAGCAAAAAGTACACCGGTCCCACACTCAAGCTATTTTTCGAGTTAATTAATGAAAAAAGATACCGCAAAACTTGGCTCAACAGGGGTAACCGCGCTAATTCGAACATTAAACCTCATAAACCAGTCTAATTGAAAAATGAGATTTCGCTAACCTGTCATTTTTACCGCGGAAGCGAAAAGTTTGAATAAGGGGGTCAATTTACAGTGCACCTTCGGATTCAGAGAGATTCTGCATACAATGCATAGCTAGTTTTGTAGTCACCATATGGTGTGGAATCGCAATCCATTATACTTTATAAGCCCGTTAACGCCGTCGAATCTGGGGGAAGCAGGAAGATTTTGTGTGAAATTTAAAAAAAATGAAACATTTTCTTGCAGTTAGTGTGTTTTGTGGTTTTGTAGGAGAGGAGATTCATTAGTTAGTCCTTGATACTAAGACTGTGGACCAAAATCGCGTGCAAAATTGCGTGCTAGTGTGTTGCAAAATAGGTCGAGTCCATTTTAAGAAGAATTATACTCATGTTATTGTTTTTTTAGAGAATGCAAAGTGGCTAGAAAACCGACTCCATGAAAAGTATACTCAGGATCCTGCAATATTTGGTAGGTCGAAGTGTGCATGCAGACACATCCATTTTCCCTTCCCTTCTTTTAAACAAATTAGCCCGTGTTCTGTAATCAGTCAAGTGAAATTCGCCAGGCGCCAACAGTGCCGTAAAAGGACTTAACTGAATAGCAAATGCTTTTTTTAGAAAAAAAAATACTTTTTTATTAATTTATCTGCATCTCTTGTTATGTGACTGCCCAGACGCCCAATCTATTCAGGCCACGTCGCGCAGGGCTATTCTCACCGTTAATGAATTAGTTCTTCCAAGGCATTTTATGAGGTAGGTGAGAACTCGGGTTGCAATTTGCCCACTGCAGCGATGCCTGGCCGAGCTTTCTAACCGAAACCATTTTAATTTGCCGAGTAGTCGGAGGTGGCGATTAGGCCAAGTGTTTCACGTCCCCTGACTGTCATCGCGTGAGCAATTCAGCCCGTTAGCCATCCCACCCTCGAGGTAGATACGCAGATTCGTGAATAAACCGTCTGTCCAGAGCACTTCAAAACGTCCTAGCCGCCCGCTTGGTCTTAGTCACCGCGAGACAAACATGACAGACCCTACACTTCACTGGCGTAACATAGCAACTGTGCAAGATCGAGGTCTTTAGTTAGGTGGCCCCACATGTCAGTCCTCCTCGTTGGTATTTATGGTGCACTTCAAGGCCCGTGGAAGGCGTCATTCATGAGTACTTTTTTCGCATTTTCATATTCGGGGGGCAGATTGTTGGGGTTAGGTAATGTTGCTAATTCTGCCTCTGGGTTTTCGACTTTATCAGCGGATTTCGGGCTAAACTGTATGCCGCACACCTTTGCACCCATATTATACTTTGGTATTAAAAAATTGTCGATTTCGAGAGTAAGCCCACCGCCTCCCCCTCGTTCTCTTGTTGGTTGAAACAAAGTTGGTCGCATCTATGTGCCCGCCGCTTTTTTAATACCTTCTTGATCATAAAAAGGACGCCTGCGTGCACACCAAGCTCGAAATGTAAATTGCGTTTTGTTTACAACTGCACATTCGTGCATGTTTTTGTTGCGCTCTCTCTAATCTGTGCCGGTCTTCAGCATGATTCCTCTAACTTGTTCGCAACACGGCACAGCCGGTCTAGTAAATTCCCTCTCATTTAGCCCTATCGCGTCGGCTTGTGCATTTTTGTTTACGTCTGGCCGTTGACTACCACCAGAACTCACTTGCTCAATTATCTTATGTCAGTATGCTCTACTCCGAAGCTTTTCGTGCAGATAAAGGTCACACAAACAGCGTGAAAATTAGTTAGTCGTTTCATTAAATTTGAATTTTGAGTTTGTTTGGTCATTGGGCCCCAACATTGGACCACCTGACCACACATTAATCAGGTAAAGGTTCGATTTCGCACATTCCTGGGTATAGTCATGGTTTTCCAGTCCGTAGTTAATCTATTGGGACAGCGTCTCGTAGATAGTGGTGCTTTAGGGCTACATTCGTGTCCAAGACTCATTTCGGTCTCCTCGTCGCTTGGCGTAATTTGATTACACCTCTGTGGGGGATAGGTGGGTGACAGACACGGAATAAAGCTGATTAACGGCATGGATAAAAATCGGTGTCTATGCGCCACACATGCTCGGTCTTTGTAGGTAACCTGGCTAGCCTGCTTTTATCAACAAAAATCGCTGTTTTAGGATCTAAATCATTCATTTAATGCTTTCACTACAGGCCTCTTCAACCCCGACAGTCCCCCACACAAAATTGAGCCCAACACACAGGTCAAGGTTCGCCTGGATCCGATGGGTTTATGGGCAGGCCATTGGCTTGTTCTCAGCGAACTCTGCACCATCTACAATCTCACCGTCACCTCTGAGCTCTCCTCAATAGGTATCTTTCTGCGCTACAGCACAATGCCCACAATCGTGCATTACAATCACTTCGACCGAATCCTTGGTCGTCAATTGAAGACGGACGCCGAGATGAAGAAAAGTGGCGCCGACCTCCCACGAGAGGCCTTCCCCTCCGTGCCTTCAGCATCTCATGGAAAATTGGTAAGATCCCAGCTTCCAAAGTCAAATTTTCCATGCTTTTTTAACACGACAGTTTAATTCATATGCTGGTTTCAGTCCAAGGACCACTTTCGACCTTTACCCACGCATGTCACGCCCCCTCCTAATTAAACCAATCAATGTCTTCGCAAGTGGCTCTCACTGCCAAGGCCCCGATTCCTCGGGAATTATTATGAAAAATAATTTTATGGAACCGTCTCTTTCACCCTAGTTTTTACTGTTCTTAAATGGAGCGCAGCAACAACATTGGTTTTCTGTCTTTTTTAACACAAGCGTTCAACTTCTAGCCCTTGTAGTAAACAAATTGACCTTCGATGTTTTTCCACTTCATGGAATCGGGGGCTTATATGTCCAACGCGTTTGACGGATTAGGTGCTGCCGCGAAACTCCCCTCTGCTAGGGGGACTCAATCTAATGAGCCTTGAGCGACAGCCGAGGATGTGGGGGCATTTGAGGCCTTATCTTTATTCGATTCATACACCGCGAATGATAGTTCAGAAGGTCGACTACCCAGCTGAAGGGGTTGTCCGTGTTGACAAAAAAACGTCAAAATTACCTTGACCACTCGTTTTGTTCTTGGCGGTGCGTAATCAAGCACTGTGCTCGCTGTACTTAATGTTCTGGCTTTGTATGAGGCAATGGGGACTGTCACGGAGAAGCACAAAACTGACAAATAAAGCGTTGCCTTTTTATCTTGTCACAGAAATACCTAAAACATCGTGTAGCTTGGCGTTCGAATCACGAGAACCGTTCTATCGGCCATAAGTAGTTCAGAAACAGGGAGAAAATTCCTCTTGAACACGCACGCTTATCACAGAAAACCACTGAGTTGTAGAAACCCTTGCATTGGAGTTTGTAAAATGTTTGGTTGGTCAGTTATGAATGACTACCGATTTCCTATTTTACATGTTTTTGCCCTATAGAATTCCCCTAGAACAACGGGCAGAGTGCGGTGCCTCAAGAAGGGCCACTGGTTCATCTCCCTGGTTAACGACCAGCCAAGGACGGAGGACGTTGTCATTTCCATGGCCGAGATAGGTACGTGCACCCGAGTTACTCGTCATCATTCTATCGTCGCCTCGGCTTCTACTAATCCTTTTTCGCATTGAATGTGTTGGAAGTGATTACTGCTGTTCACGTAGTAGCGGCGTTGAACTGCTTCCGATACTGTCCAAGAATACCGGGAATACTTTCTCGTTGCCTGGTACATTTTCTTACCGTATAATATGCGTATAACAATAGCGCAAGTGATCTAAATGTTTAATAAACGTCCAACCAGATTATTTTCCAATCTTAGAGTTAAAAAAAAGCAAAATCCAATTATGTGCTTCGAAGACGAAATATGTTTTCTGTTGCATAATTTGTAAGCGGCAGGTTCCGAAGTCCGCTTAGTAGCATATTTGGTGATCGTTACAGCCAATTCGTGGCGTCAAGTGCAATTTATTTCAAGAATGCAGAAGTCGCCACCATTTGCTGGTCAACGGAGCTCACAACTTCATGCAAAGATTGAATGGCGATAGTGTGATTTTCGGTAGTTTTTGCTTAACTCCTCATTGTTGCAAAATATTAGGTCCAACAACGAGGTAAATAACGAAGTAAGACGCATATCCTGGTCGGATCAATTTGGCAAGGTCTGTTTCCAGGAGATCTTCAGGTCTTGCGACTTCGAAGGGCGCTGTCAACTGGTGCCTCGGTGCCGTGTTATTTGAAGCATGCAAGCAGCTGGATGACAGTTGTCGTTCCACCAGTTTGGGCAATTAATTGCATTACGCAATACCAAAGAAGACTACCTTCTTCGAAATTAATTAGGAGAGGCTAATCGTACTTATATGCTACCCGCATCATTAATCTCCTTCTGTGCTTGAATGCACACGCTTTATCCCTGAAGTCCTTCGTGTATGTCTATCTACAGTAAACGTCCAAAGTGGCGCATTAAAATAAGCTGATTCACGTATTATTGAAGCGTATTCTTTCTAGTATCATTGTTAAATTCGGCCAGGATTTACTCTGTTGTATGAGCGAGCTGAGTTAAAACACGCTCCACATTCTCGTAACATAGCCGCATCCCTAACCACTAACATCTACGAAATCCACATCTTGTGAATTGGGCATGAGATGATTACGATTAAAAATAAGGCCTGCTTCTGTAGATGTCCTTATTGCGACTATTTGCTTTACATTCACGTGTCTTTTTTATTTGCACAACCATTATCTTCAAAGGTACACAATTTGGTTCGTGAGTTCTGACTTGCGCTGTTTATCATCTACACACGATGATGTCTACGCTGAAAAAAAGACACAGTTTACCCCAAATTGCAGACATCTACACCCCCCATCCGTAGATGCGGTGATCTTGTGTGATCTGAAATTCGGTAATAGACTTGAATTGCTCGACCGTCATGGTGCTATGAAAACTTTTACGAGCAACAAGTATTTGTGTATGCGTACATACGATTACACTTCAGGATCACCTCATTGACTATAATAAACATTCGCCAGAGGATCAAAACCATTGGCTGTCCTCTAGTTGGCATTTATGCACCAGTGACTTTTGTAGAAGTTAATTTTGGGTTCGCAACCTGAATCACAAAGTCAGAGGGGTAGGATCAGTAGAGGTCGAAGTTGCGTGTTAAACTCCAGGAGGAGAGTGTTTCGCCGTCAGTTGGAACCAAGAGTCCGGTAAAGGAGGATCTTTGAGCGCCTGTTCCCCTTCTTATTTCTTCCAATCGTTGGTGGCTTAGACACCGGTGGACAGCCAATCATTTTGGAGTATCTGGTTCTCACAGCCCTTCTGCATTATTAAATCCCATCACAGAAGCCTTTGATGTGCGGATAGAACAGGCGTCCTGTGATGCGTATGCGTATAATGTAAAAAACCCTTCCCTTACCCGTCTTTTCCACCGCATTCCTGGCCGTTCTTTGGCCATTCTTAGTAGCCTGACAATGGCTTCTTTGTTAAGCCCGCCCGACTAATCTGATTTAAACCGATTTGTTTATTAATCTAAAGCGCCATTTATGGTGATTCCAACAGCATGCCATGCTCATGCACTAAAACCGATGTTTTCTAACAATTTACATCAAAATTGACCCCACCGTGTTGTGTTTTAGCGTTTTAAGCCATGTTTAGGTGCCCTGGCCAACGTGCTCATTGTCACGTATGTTGTGTTGGAAGCTCAATGCTACGCAGCCGAACCATATTTGCGCACACATTATGCTTGTTCGTGAATGTTGGCAAGTTAATATTGACATTCTGTGTTTGCTTGATAAAAAAGGTCTCGACGAATAGCGTAGCGTGAGTTTGCGTCGAGAATCGCGTTTTGTTCATTTACCTTTAACTAAATAAATGCACAAATTCTCACAAAAAACTTTCACGTTCTGCTTGTGCGCGTGAGTGTCGCATTGGGGACCAGAAAAATGACAGCCGACAGTAGCCCTATTTTGTTTGTCCAAGTGACGAGCTTTGTTTAAATGCGTGCGGGTTTATCCGAAGCGCTGACGGCTGAATAACGACTCACATTTCCCTACACATTATTTGTATTTTTTTGGGTTTAACTCTGGTCCCTAGACGATTTATTTACAAACTCTACCTTTTCCTAAAGGACCATTTCACGTGCCTTTTCCGGGTCCTTAATGCACCCAAAATATAAGGGCACTTATTGGAGGCTGTTACCAGACGAGGTATGTTTCATTAACATGTCTGGTGTTTTATTTATTTAAAGGCAATGCAAAAAAAGACGTAAAACGGAATTGGCTAGTTCAGAAGGCATCCGGAACAATTTTGTTTTCAGATGTACAAATTGCTCTTTTGTTTCCGCAAAATGAAAGAATTAAAAGTTAAGTGAAGTAACTGGCAGTAGTGAAGGTGGAATTAGAATTTCTGTGGAATAAGATAACAGTCTAAACATGACGATTCCCTTATGCCCGTGCGAGTACTTTGCGTTTTAAGCCGCTAGCTAAACCCTCAGACATGCCCTAATCGTAATTGCGGTGTTTTTCTTAGATTGTAAAATGGTTTTATGAAAGGAGCTAAAAATGACGCAAAATACTAGCGTGGTTGCGCATTCCAATCATCCCAAAACGCATTAGCGGTCCTTCTTTACTGGTGCATTGTTTCCGGTCCCATGCTTCTTCCTCACTTTGACCGGAGGGCGCGCCAATCTAGAAATGCACTGATCTCCAATTTAAGACTGGCGAGGGTGAGGCGAACAGTTCACGTTGCAGACGGATGAACACGATTTTGCTTGGCTAGGACTGTGGTGGACTTATTCTGCCTCAGCTTTCACTTTATTGGGCGTCGTCAGAAGACAGGGGGTTACGCGGCTGTTGCGAAACTTGACTGATGCCCAGTTCATTCGCGTTGTTGTATCATCTGCGGATTGGCCCATGGGGGTTGGTAGATTGTTGAATCGAATTCAAGGTGCGTAAAGAAAGTGACTTGCTGAATAGGGTGTAAGTGCGTGTGCCGTGGCCACCCACCGCCAATATTGTGTCTATGGTGAAACATGGAAATGCGTTTTCCTATTTTTGAAATCACATTGACTGCAACTGAATTGCCTTTTCTCCGAAGCGTCAATTACTCACTGTGACCCGAAGTAAATCAACACCCGATTACTTAATTTGCCCTTTTTTGAACGGGAAAGCGAAATATGTAGATACACGCGAGCAGCAGCGTGTTGGTTCTGCTCCAAAGCTGCTTTTCCTTTACTGTATCCCACCCCGTCTACCAACTTTTCGCCTCTTCAAACGTCTGAACGTGCTGCACTCCCGTCTTCGTTATTCCACTCAACATCGCTTGGAAGTTTTTAAATTAAGCTGATGTTTACTTTACCTGTAAATACAGTTGGCGAGATCTGCTTGTAACAAGATCGGCTTCATGAAGGGTAAGGCTTGGGACGCAAGAAAAAGAAGACTGCAGACGTAGGCTGTTTAACAAAAACATGACTTACGAATAGAGCATCGGTGGATCGGTCCACGTAAGTCTTCGATGCGTTGCTTCAAGCACATTGGCGTATTATCAACCATCTTCCAGTATGATGTGGCGTGAACACTGAACACCACGCGACGGCCACTAAGCGCACGCCCGATTTCCGAAGTGGTGTTTTGGGCTCAGTGAAGTTAAACGCGGCGTTGTCTGGTCTTGACTTATTGTCCATGTGGCTTAGTTGCTCGTATCCTGCAATCCTACTTACGCCTGATCGCTTATGTGTTCGACTTGGGTGTCACTCTTACATCCATCACCATCCATCACGTGAGCCAAAAACATGTAACAAAAAACGAACAATTCGACTTTGCCCTGAATACATGTTTCGTACCGGTGATAAGTTAAACGTGAAAGGGGATTTATTAGCCGATTAAATCTCTAGTTTCAAAGTCCGTCATGGCCTTCCTGAAAATGGCAATGTTTTAAAAGTCGACATTGTTTTTCTATACACTGGTATCTATTTTTATCCTGCTAGAATGAGGAATGATTTCAATGAACAGTTCACATAATTTTCTCGCATAAAAACTTCCACTCAGTTACGAAAACCTAACAAACTTCATACTCTCTTTCTTACATAGCTTTAGAATCTGTTTACTACTTTGATTGATGTTCCGTCCATTCACTTTTTATTCCTCCTTTTTTGGCTTTGTGTTTTAAAGAAAGACCTGTTACATTTCTCTGCATTCCATGGCATTTCTTACAATTGTTTTGTGGCAATGAAATTTTGTGTCTTCCTACCACTGATTTAGTGTTTGCCTTTATTTTTCCAGTCTCCTGTATGGGAACAGGAAGGAATGTTTGTGCAAAAACGTATTTTCCCTTAACTCGCTACACGGTAAGAGAGAGAGAGAGAGCTATTTTTGTTCCCACGACGATCGTCGTTTATGGAGGTTCGCGTTTCATCTCCTTGGCTTTACACTACTTCCCTAAATTTGTCCACTCTTCTACTTCAAGTGCCTGGGAGGATCTGTTATCCAGCCGCTCATCTAAACCTTTAATCACACCTGTGTAGATTCTTTCGCTCTTGTGTTTTCCATCCACCTTCCACTATTGTCGAATTTTGCCAAATGGAATATTTTTTAGAAATATTATATAGTCTTCCTTATTTTCTCCCACATATTCCGATTATCTTCAAGAAGGACTGCCAACTGGTAAGCTTACTTGGGCTTGTTTCCGGGAAATAGTTTTACAAAACCCACAAATTCGTCGTTACCGAAATTGTCTGATCAATCATTTTAGGGCTGAAGTTTTAGCCGCAATTAAATGCAGCTGTAGTCAATAAGTTGCTTATCATTCGTCCTTATAAAGTAAACAATGACTTGATATTCCCCTTTTGCAGTATGCAAAGGCCACGACGTTCCAATCACCCCTCTAATGCATTGTCTCTGCTTGCCAATCTAGTCTGCCTCTTGTTTGTTTGTAGTGATGCTGCGTGGGTGCCCGAACGACTGCAGCAATCGAGGCATCTGTTCTCAGGGCGTCTGTGATTGCCTCAATGGCCTGACCGGCAAGGACTGCTCCTCCAGTGAGTCCTCTAAGCATTCCTCTTGAATTGGTAGGAAATTTGGGCCATTTTTTGTGTTAACCTCACTTCGGGGCCTAGGCAGGCCGATTTCTCAATTTGATGCGGCTGTGTCTTCATGCAACTCTTATAATCGCGTGATTATGTTAGTTCGATTCTCCACCAACGAGGAGAACATTAATCGTGTCACAAACGGATTTTGATCAGAATCGGGGACATTGAAGATGGATTTGTTCAAAGGCTGACAGGTTTTTTTGGAATCCTTCCTGGTTGCAATTTCCGGATTAGATAAAAAGGGAAAAAAATGAAGTCTTGTTGGTATTCTGTACGAAAGGATAAATAAACGGAAAAATGAAGAGATAGTGGCGGGACTCAGACAGGGCCACTCGCAAGCCTTGCCTGTTGCTCCCTCATTACCAACTTATCAAGTGTATGTAGTTACTTATACATAATTCGCGCGTCCAAATTTACTATTAGTTTTCCAGAAACCATGTCAGCCAAGTGCTTAGAACAAGTCCCTCTTTAACTTTCTTGAGACCCGTTATAATTTATTTTGTAACGAGATTGATAGTCCCCTTGCAAGTAATGAAAAGCTTCGGACCGCTCGGCAGGAAGAAGCCTGTTCGAAGTTGAATGTGCGACGAAATATTTGCTTCTTATCACTTAGCACTTCCTGCCGACTCATGAATTGTGCGAAACCTCGTAGGCTGAAACGTGGTTACTTCGTGGGCTACCTGCAATCTTTCAGTTTGTGGTGTTTAATTGAGCCTATTGCTTAGGATTCTCTTGTCCTCACTACGCATTAAAGTGTTCTTTCAGTGGTAAATGTCGCATCACCAAAAATTCTATCATGTCCTTACATATGTGTGCCCGTTCTGGTGTTTAGGGGGTATTCCAAGTCCTATTATTCGATGTCCTTCTAGTCCTCGTCAGTTTACCTACAATCAACGGGTCTCACTGTTTTAAAATACGCATTTAGTCTTAAGTGGGTGTTTGAAATTCCTTAAGGGTGCTAGCCACTGTTATTCCACTGACATGAAATATTTTAAACTTGAGAAGTATGCAGTTTTGTGCAGGTTTTTTTGTCACCCAGTGACCTTCTACTGCTTCACAGGATGTCTCCTGTTTCACTGCGGGTGAAACCGTCTCACATGCAGTTTAGTAGTACCAACCTTTCTGTAGTAAAAGTATGCACTGCTTTGGACCAGTTACAACATTGCCTACCTTCGGCATTCAAGTCCATCTAGTGCCCGCATGAAGCTGCATTTATGGAACTGTAATTTTTGTTACTCTTAGAAATGATGACCCATCACTTTTAGAGGATCTGGCTTAATGTTTTTATTGGCCTTGCTGTGATCTGTGACCTTTCAATTCGGATTAGTCTTGGGGAACTCGACCTGATTTCTTGAGCTCGATTCCACCTACTTTGACCAAATGGATGATCAAACGCATTCTTTGATTATTCTGCTAGAACAGAGCTGAAATCGTGGTGATTTTATTGGGTTCACCCTACGTTAAGCCGGTGAAGCCATCCATTTTAAACTGTGTTTACAGCCTACTGCCACGGGCAATTATGACTAGTTAAGCAGGGAAATTACCATCTCGCAGCCAAGCAGCGGCTTTCGATACATCCGGGTGTACGCTGCGATTCCCGTCGAATTTAAATTAGTCACGCAATCACCTACGTTGTACCATTCAACACAGTAGAATGTATTTTTGCAATTATAATTACTGAGTTCTACCTACGCTGAAAAACGCGCCACCTCTCGACTAGCAACACGGCTGTGGAGAGGCAGTCACGGAATTTAACCTGATTGCCAGCTAGTGAAAAACAACTTCTGGCACCTGAAATACTTCGTTCTGAGGTGTACGAATATCAGCGTAAATAAATCAGTGATAAACCAATCGGCAGCCTCGAAGAGGACTGGTCTGCTCATATCAGCATCGGTGAAAAAATAGCAGTTTGAGGAGGAGATGGCAGGGATAGATAAGTAACTGCCTGCAAATTCGTAAATACCGAGGAAAACTCGTTTTCTCCCTATCTGCTTTTCACCCCTCTCTCTCTCATACATCGTATCTCATGTTTATGGTATCGAAATGGGTGCTCATACATGCTGTTTGTAAAAAAATCAAAAAAATTAAAGGTGCAGCTTGTTAACGGATCGCAATTTTTTGACAACACAAATCACACCCGCTGAACCAGTAATGTGGACACGGTGTTTTTTTCGGAAAACCCGCTGTCACCACGGCAATACTGGTTTCATACAACTTGTCCTTCGTACCCTCGAGGTATTTAAACACGAAATAACAATGAAAGCCCACTTGCAGTCAAAGACAAGCGAAAACTATGTTGCAACGACAAGTACAAGTGATTTCCTCGGCAGTGCTTTCTCTCATTAGTTGGTCAACAAAGTGTGGCACCACGCAGTCACGTTGATTTATCAAGGCTGCGGTCTTGCTGGAATGCGCGCAATTTTTAGGTAAAACCGACGAAGGGTTTCAACGCGCATGTTGATGGGTGTTGTGTCTTTTAGCTCTGCCTCTCACTGTTAGGGATTAATTTTGTCCGTTCATGTTTTTCTTTCTGCTTTACCCGAGACATAATTTCCCAGCTCCTATTTGGCCTTCTCAATAACGCGGCCACTAAGCTGGAATGTCAATTAATTGCATTCAAAACCCTTAACGGTGTCTCAAACCGGATATTTGATGACTTTGTGGGTTAGTCATCCGGTACAAATAAATCTCTTAGTTGAATGACCACATTTCGCATGATCTCCAGTAACTTGTAATGTCAGTTATGCGCAATCGTTTACTTCATTAGTTTGAATCCGCGAGTCTCCTTAAAACTGTATTAAATTTGTTTCTCGCAATCATTTTACTCTCCGCCCATTGATAAGGAGGAGGTTAGTCAATGAGAATACACGTCAGTCGTCTCAGATTGACGTTTGTGTGTTGCTATGGTGACTTCGCTAATTACTGCGCACACGTCCACCACATTAACGTATCCGCTTTTCCTTTCACTCAGCTGGATGCATTTGTTCGCCTTCTATCTCATCTTGACGCATCAAAAACTAATGCTACGTTGGAAATCTAGTTACATTGATTATTGCATAAAGTTTCAGGCAGCAATAATCGGTTATTGCTTTCGCTATTTTCGTGTATTCATGTAAAATGATCACTTTTACAGTTGCTTGTGCCGACATCGGTCTCTATACTGGTCTGATCGCTTTAATGGACGGCGAACTATCGCGCCTAACACTCAGCGGCGTAATTCCATCTTGTAATCAAAGCAACATGGAAGCAACGCATCTTCACGTCCCTCTGTTAAGTGGGCTGCCTTTCTGGTTTCCTTTATGTGATTCCTTCCATCCTGTCCAACTGTGGATTGATGTTTAGTGGAAAATTCTTAAAAAACGACTGCGACTTTGATCCATAAAATACCTATTTACTGTTCCCTCCCTAGGTTCGTGGGACATACTAGCTGCCTGAAACTGTTTGCAAGTAATTTCCACTCGTGCTAGGATTAGCCTCAAGCACGAGGCACACTTTAATATGCCTCCTGTCGCCTTTAGTTGAGGAGGTGCCGATCTGCAGCGGCCACGGCGACTACCGACAGGGCAAGTGCCACTGCTACGCAGAGTGGAAGGGTCCTGAGTGCGAGCTTCTCTGGTCCGAGTGTCCCGAGCCCACGTGTTCGGGCAACGGTCGCTGCGTCACCGGGGAGTGCCTTTGCTTCGACGGTTACGGAGGTGACGCCTGTCAATTCAGTAAGTCCAGTCTGGGTTCTTTTTGTGATGCAAGTCACGTTGCACGCTTGAAGATGCCCCAGTCAGTCAGCCACTTCGTGCACAGAGGGGCTTGGGTCGACGCCTTCTTCGTAGAATGACATCCTAGGCTTTTGTGAACTGAACTACAATCTTGTGCCTCTGAGGTGTGGCCGTGTCCTGGAGTATCTTGGGTCGGTGGTGATTGACAAGTGCTGTGTAGAATGACAAAAAAACATGCGATATTGCCCTAGCTGCCACGCGAAAGATTCTTCCTCTAAGGTACTTCTTGAACACTTGCAAGTTTAAGTAGTCACATTAGAATGTGTCAATCACGAGCTTGCGTAAATACGCAAGTAATTTACGTAATTGTTTTTGCGAAGTTGTCACTTCATAACCATTTGTTTTTACTACGAATATGTGACTGTGCGACAGCTGGTTCGCATACTTTAAGTAAAAATGACCAGAACAAGCACGCGTGAGTTTTCCTTTTGTTTCTGCACAATCTTTGTTGTTGATGTTGCTATCATTTCCTTCACAAGCCACAAAGACCTTCCGAACTAAGAATACTTCCAAAGAGTGTACAATAGACGGCTCTGTTGCATAATTCGCATTATTTGCTACACCGGATGTTTAGTTTGATTGGCCCCATTCACACATTTATGAGACTCTGCAATCCTTTTTCTGCTTTACCCATCCAACTGGAGACCTCTCCCAGTTGTACGTTGTCGTGATGAAGTCGGGAATGGACACATTAAGTAATACTGTCTGGTGATAATGGAAGACCAATTCCTGAGAATCGGTGACCTTTCTTTCTAAATTGAATTGTACAAATATTGAGATACTGAAGGCGAGGGAAAGGGGCTAATGGTTTAAATAAAGTACGTGCTTGCTTAATCAGTATTTTAAAAAACATGGCGTTTGAAAATAGGTAGAGTAAGCGTCAAAAAACCAGAAAAAGTTATCTTATAATGCAATCGGACTTGTATTTACGATTAGATACAATCAGGCAGGTTCAAAATTTTCACGAAGTAGCTGGTTTGTAGTAAATCAACTACCGTAAGCTGTTTCGTAGCAGAGATTTACGAACTTGTATAATTTCACGTGAACTTTCCAGTATTTATTTGTTGTTCGCCTAGCAAAGGAAGTGAGTACGTCGTAGCACAGCTGACCTACGTAAGACAAGCTGTTAGTTACCTAAAACTGACCATCCACCAGTACCCCAAATAGCAGATAGGATGATTGTTTAGTTGGAAATTTAACTTTACCTTGGGTTGATCCCTTTTCAGAATGACCTTGAGCGGATCATCTTTATGCGTCTCAATGAAGTGGACTGTTAGAAATATGTCATCTGTTATGGTAAAAGAGTCTCGAAACAATTGTGGTTTGACCATTTAGCGAAACGCTGTGCTCGAATTCCGACTAATGGTGTACTGGCTTGTCCACAGGCCGTTCAAGGCGCCAAAGTGCATCGAATACATGAAGAACCTGCATGCGTAAGGACTTCTGAAAAGTAACAAGCACTTTTCTTGCCCAATGTCAAGTCCAGTACTTTCTTGAAGATGTCTTCATATCTGTCACGATCAATTTTGAGACATCATTCAGCCTGTTCACTGACGGATCCAACTACGTACCACCTTCAGTGATTAAAACTCTCACCAAGCAATCAGATGTCCTAATTAATCACTTTTAATAGCACTGCCTCGATCCACTTCCTCCTTCACGTGCTTCCGCCATCTTCATAAATCTTAGGCGTTGCCCTCCCACCCCTGCCCCTTTTACAGGGTTGGCGATGCGCACGAAAGGTGCCTTTGTTCGACACCTCCTTTTTTTCCCGATCGATTCGAGCTGCGTGATTGGTGGCTCTCAGTGGAAAGAACATTAATTATATGCTGTATGAGCGGCGTGGCAGATTTTTGTTTCCTTACAAGATGAGAGCATAACAATGCTGCAAAGGCGCGTAGATGCGCATGCGTGTTCCTGCCTTGCCTCTGGACACATTGGTTTTAGCAATCAGGCGAAATGCCTACACAGGCCTCACCACCTCTCTTTTCAACGCCGGTGGCTATTGTGTGCGGTCACCGAAGGGGTCTGCATCGATTGCACTGGGCTTTTGATCGAAAATCGTCAAGAACTGACGGTGTGCCTCGTTTACGGCTCACTGAAATGGACCACCGCACGCACTAATTACTCAGCTAATGTGGCTGCCACCTCAATGTCCATCTTTCACGCCGATCCTCCAATCTGCTTCAGCGAAACACTTTTCTAAGAACTAAAACACAGTGGCATTGGTGAGAAATGGAGTTTTAGATCGAGAATTGAGGTCGTTTATGTTGAATTATAGCTCGAATCGTATACTACAACATTCACACTCGTGAATTGGAGTCTAACCACCACACAGCACCAGTGCGTGATGCCCACGACAACGCAGAGGGACCAAATAATTGCCTCACTATGAGGTGTAACACGACCGGTCACTGGTTCCTGTGTGACCCTTTACTTGCCTTGACTGCTCATTACAATCCAGTGCATGAGCTCATTAGGTGAACAGAAGAGGCTGGCTACTCGGTAGTCCAGTTCCAAGACTTGCGAGGCTTGATTCGACACACATATTTTTGGAATGTGCTGCCATCCTGTGGTCCATTCATGAAGTTGATTAGCTCTACAATCCTGCCCGGATTGCTGCCAGAGCGAATTTGGTAGAAATTTATTGTCAAGTAAAAAAGACAGCTTTTTTTAATCACCTCTATGTGATTGTCCTCGATAATAAACGATTCCAAAGCATTTGTTTGCTTATGTGGCATTTGGGGGAAAGTTTTGCGTTCTATGCAAACACCAACACACCGAATCATGTTGGCTCTTAACAACCCAGACATAGGTGTATATCATCCGCGATTGTTTGTGCAATAAATCTCTCAGTAGAGGGCCCAGGAAGATTGTAACACTTATTCATGCCTTGGTTTTCACACGGAGTTGTTTGTAAGTCAGCATGAGGAACACAGATACGTGTTCATTCACGAATCAGTCGCCTTGCTGCGGGACTAGCGCCGAATCGGCGAATGCATGTGCAAGGCGACGGGAGGTGGTTCTTCAAGCATTCTTTTAATGGTGGCTTCAGCTACCTCAGATCGACTTTCCGCGTCCCCTAACACTCTTGTCTGCGTGTAACAGAAGTTCTCCGGTTTCTGTCTGAATCTTCTTTGCCATCCTGACGGTGCGTGATAGAGTTACGTGAACTCTTAAACCGTCCCTCAATCTAGATACAATGCAGTTTCTGACTCTATCAATGCCATTTTCAAGTGCTAAATCATGGCATTAGGCCTTTTTGAACCTTTTGCTTAAATATGACACGAGTACTGGTATATCTGTTGTTAAAGAGAGTCGGAACTTTCTTACGTTGGTTTTTCTTGTCTCATGCGTTGCCACCACACCGAAATCAAGCATTCCCAGTAGTATGTACCAGTGTAACTTTTACATGTGCTTTCAGGAACCTGTGGCTCGCACAATTGCTCTGGCAATGGCGTGTGCATCGATGGTGTTTGTCGGTGTTTCGCCGGCTGGGACGGCGCGGCCTGTGACCGTCGTGCGAGGAAGCCTGACGCGGCCGCCGGCGACAGCAACGAGTTTTCCAGTCTCACACAGAAGGACGCCGTGCCACCGAGTCCACCACCCGACCCCGCCTGCTCCCTCAACGGTCACCGCGACCCCGTCAAGGGCACCTGCCGTTGCTTCCCCGGCTTTGAGGGGCCCGCCTGCGAGAAAGGTAACCCGCTCACCTGACTGTGTTTTGGCCACCCCTGCGTCGTCCCCAAACCCCATGCGTGACTGTGTTCTCCGTAACCCTAACTTCCGCTCCCACATCCTGTGGACCACAATTGCTGCTGCATTTTGAGAATGAGGCTTTGTTGTTAGTGTGATGTACGCGTTTACCCGCGCGCGAGCGTGCACAGATAAGTGACTTGGCTTGCAAATAAATTCCGTGCTTCAGATATAAACGGGATTTTTGTTTTTTTTTGAACGTCTGGAGCTGGACGAAGCGCTGCTCAAAACAACTGTTGTTTACAAGTATAACACTGCTTCAAATCAAAACGCAGCAGTGGGTCCTGGGAGTGTATGTTTCCATTTTACTGAACATTTCCTGCTTAAGGTAATTTCGATATTATTCTTACCCTTAAGTCAATTTAGGTAGAAATTAGTACAACAGTTTTAAAATCCTGGCCTTCGTCAGTGCGTATGTGATGATGTGTTTCTAAATGTAAGTCTCCTGCACAAATCAGAGACCTGTGTTTCCGACTTTCTACTGTCCCATTTCCTTGCCTTAAATTGGCCGTGCTCCGTGGATGCCATGAAATAACGCATTTCAGATATCAAGCATGCTTTCGGGAATTACTGATTTGCAACTGTACCTTTTATATCGCAAAATGAGTCACCCCGAGTTGTAAAATCATGCGAAGAGCGTGTTTCGTTGTAAATTTGCTTCGTCAAGCCATTCGTTATGCATGCTAGTCATCACGCGCCGAGTGTAATACCCAGGTGCCGAAAATTACTACTCAAGATGACTGAATATGTAAGTAAGATGATAAGGCGAACGACTTGGCAAAGGATTCTTGAAATGTGCATAGAGTCTGGCCACATAGGTTCTTTTCAGTCGCAACTGCCGCCGCCACCATCATCACCACCCTTCTTAACAAATGATTTCTCCGCAGGTGAGCGCTTTTATTCAGCGATTCGCCTACGCAACATGTCCCAGTGTGCTTTGCCTGTTGCCTGTCACTTTTTTTTTCAAGCCGACCACTTCGAGGGGAGTAGGTCTCAGTGAGCACATGGGCACGGCTTGGCAGAGGCGTAGATATCACGCCCAGTCACTGCTGCGTGTTGCCTTGATGATTCATTGTGGTTTTGCCGTGGCTGACAAATGCTGATAAGGCGGACTTAAATAGTAGAAAGGTTTCCTGTGCAATAACCACCTCGTCCTTGAATGACGCTGAGTCACTCGGGGAATTCCAGGGACAAGATATCAAGGTAGGCATGAAGTTAATCAAAACCACCGTAGACAGTTAGTTGAAGGTAGAGTTTTCGTTTTCTATTGATTAAACACCTTAATTTCCTGTTCGGCTGATCAAATGACCTGCTCGCAGGTGCCGCACGGCCACTTGAAGAAGGCAAGATGTCAGCACATAATCACCCATCCACGGTGCTCGAGAATCAGAGCAAGCACGCTCGTCCGCTTTGTCAGATTTACCACACACGCACTCGCACAAGGAGAGTCCCACGTTGTCGGCACCCGTGGAGGGTAAGAAGAACTCGCTCTTCGCAGGAGGTGCCGCCATCGCTGTGACGTGGTGTTCACCGCCTTCGTGGGAGCCACTGCACACGCAGCTGAAAATTCCCACACCGATCTGACTGTCGCTTTTGACGTGTTTAGGCGAAATCGGCATTTCCTCGACCTGTCGGTTGCCAATGCTCTCACCACCTGTTGATAGGGCGGGAATACAATCATTATTAAATTGCAGTACTATTGCTTTTCTTGGGTATCTGACACTCCACCGCAAGATAGTTTTGACCTTTCCTAAACGTGAAAACCAAAACCTTTTGGCATTATTAATTTCTGAAAAAAACTGAGGCGTCTAAGGCAGAGCACAAAGGTGACACGATTTGGGGGTGGGTTTTCGTGTGCAAAACATCTTCAAGGGAAACTATTTTGGCAAGACTTGAAGACTCAACCATGTGAAGCATTGTTCGTCTGCGTTTAAGGGTAATTTATCCCTGACTGGCTTGACAACACGACTTCATAACCGTGCCTTGAGATTTCATCTGATTTGGGGTCTAATTGCAAGCGGGATGCTAACTCACTAGGGAACCAATCCCATGCCAATGCAATTCTCATTCAGGTGGCCCTTAAGAGGATTAAATAATGTCGTGATCCTTCATGCATTGAATTTCTCCTTGATTAGTGTTCCACCAGTAACACTGCGCTGAATGCGAATTCTTACCTGAATTCCAGAGTACACGACGACGGTTTGTATAGATTCGACTCACATTTGTGCGTAGTTTTGACTTTCCCACACGAGGAGTCTGTCTTGTCCCTTGTAGACGTCACGTGTTCGAGCCGCTGTGTGCACGGCGTCTGCACGGGCGACCGGCGCCGCCTGCTTGTCGGGGGAGCCGCGCTGCCGGGGCTGCTGCTGCCGGCAGCGGCGGCTCTCATCGACCCAGCAGTGTGCCACTGCCACGACGGCTGGCGCGGCGTCAACTGTGACCTGCCCACGTGCCACGCCAAGTGCCTTCTCAACGGCCACTGTATCAACGACACCTGCGTCTGCAACCGCGGCTGGTCTGGCGCCAACTGTAATCTCAGTGAGTTCGACGATTTGGTAACCAACTTCATCCCACCCGAGATGGGAGCGCTTGTGTTTGGGTTTTGCATTGTTCGGCAGATCGTTGACGGTGGATGTAAAATGTCTTCCAGTATTTCACGTCGAAACAAATGATGGGTATTGATCTGGTCATGGCAGCTCTGTGATCCAAGAATTTAACTCACTGCGGGCCTCTTGTGCTCAAGAGCAGCGTTCGAGGATCTAGCAGGTTATCATAGGCCAACAACTCATCTTTTGCCTCTTTCGGCACCTTGGTCTTGTAGTCACCTTATGGCGCATTAGAGCCGAATTTCGGAGATTTTTTTCCCTTCAAGTTGCCCTATCCAAAACGCGTGGATAGTATCATGCAAGAGCACCTGTATGTTACCATTCCAAAACGCCATTCGCTACGGTTTCTTCTCAAGCGCGCAATTCTCTCGTGAGCTATTTAGATAATAAGCAAATCTTAACTGTTGGTTTGCTGCTAATTCCCAAATTACGGTGAAAACGTAACCGAAATAACTGACATTCGAAGCAGCAAATGCTGCCATCTCTTGTGCCTAACTTCTTGTGTCGCGCTGCGTGGACAGTGCAGAATGGCAAAGCAGAAAACTCACACAAATTTTCGAAAGTGCTTAAGTCACAATTGGTTTTCGCTGTTTCACGCATGCACCTTAGCACTTACTTTTAGCCAAGCTGCAGCGACGTGGATCAACAGAATTGCTTGCTTCCATAGAATAAAGGATTATTGAAGCGTCCAATGTTGTTTCTTGTTACTTTTTTGGTAGACGAGTGTCCCCTGGACTGTAGCGGCCAGGGACAGTGTGTCCAAGGTGACGACGGACATTACTTCTGTCAGTGCTTCGCCAACAGAAAGGGCTCTGCTTGTCAAGTTTCACGAGAGATATCCTGCAATGACGGACGCGATGACGATCAAGGTTAGATTCTCTTTGCTTCATACAAGATTTCGCCAACGATTGTTAGATATTAAGGTCGTGTAACTAGTTGGCAAGCTGCCACATCAACCGTGGAACTGCAATTTTCACTTAGTGTTGTATGTGAGTGATTTAGAGACGTCGAAAAATTTCCTAATGATTTTAATGAAACTGATTGACGAAATATGCTCCTCATGCACGTTTTCCATTCACTTTGAAGCTTTATTGTTCACCAAGTCGACAGTTATTGAAATCTGCAACGTTGAATGCAATCTTTTATCTAACGACTTCGTTCCAGTGGACTCAACTTCAGTTAAAACGTATTTGTTTTTTGTCCACAGCTAAGGAGTATTTTAGTGGCTTGAGCCGATACTGTGGAGGGGTTTTGGTTTATTATTTATTCGCGTCTGATGCCGTCTTCTTCAATAGATGGCCTCGTGGACTGCCTGGACCCGGACTGCTGTGGGACCGAGCACTGTGAGGAGTTGATTCGATTGCGGGGCAGTCAGCAGGCCGTGGAGGATGCACGCCAGAGCTGCGCCCACAGCACCGAGATTAGCGGTCTCATTTTGAGCACCAAGATGGCCGCGCCCGGCAGCAGCTTCAGCGATCAGCTCGAGTTTCTCCTTCTTCGTGACCTGACCACCGACAAGGTGAACCCACGGTAAGTCGGACCATCTTACTTTCATTGCTTGCTTGCTTGACGATCCCTTTATGGTTTATTATTTACCCGGGTCGATACTGAATGAATGGCAGATCATTTTAAGCGTCCTTTTTTCTGCTCAGGTGGCTGTGTGGCACGAATAGCTTTTTACTTGCAAAAAACTTCCGCCACAACTGTTGCATGCGTTCTTCCTGCCATGCAATGCCTCTGCTGTTGCCGTTTCGTACGACGCCGGCGGAACTTCATATGCAAATGTGCTTGATGTGTATTCCCCGGCGTCGTTTCTAGATTTCTAATCGCATCCAGAATACTGCAATCTTCTCAGATAATGAACCAATCAGACTGCAGATTAGCTGATACCCAAATTTACTGTTTTGAAATCGGTTCAAATCATCGGTGTTGCTATCCCTGATTGTATAAAATGTGTGTGTGGTACATGAACACATCATTGAATCCCCTCGGAAGGTGTCTTTTCTGTTAATTGAAGTGAAACATCATTATTCTTGCCAGTATTATCATAATTATAATTCAGGAAATTGTGCCAGTCGATAATGACTCAACACAATTGGCTTAAGTAGGTTTAGAAGGGAATGTCAGTCATGAGAACGATCATACGAAAACAGAAACCGTTGGTGAGAATATGCTGTCATTAGAAATTGCCTTTCGTTGGCGTTACGTTATCTTGGGCAACTAGGAGCGAGTAATTATATTGTAGACTTGTACTATCATGTAACAATCGAAGGTGATGTTTTGGGTATTCTTCAGACGCGTTTCGGTTGTGCGAGGTGTCGTGCGCCAGTGGGACAGTACGCCGTTTTGGGGTTGCCGCGTCTTCGACCGTCTCAATCCCGCCATCGGATCTGCTTTGACGGACAAAAGCGGCCGGTAAGTCGGTCCTTAAGCCCCAGTGTTGCTTCACTTGTGTTCTTGCAGCCTTCAGTTACCGCCGTGTATCTGGCATCTTGCTGCTCATGTCAAGGACACCAAATTGTACAACCAATGTAATGAATTATACATAACAGGAACAAGTCACCTAACTAGATTAATTAGAATCAAACCAGGCCATTTTTTCTTCGACCAGCTTTGAATTGGTCGTTGATGGCGGATTTCTTGTCCAATTGGAGTTCATTCGTCACCCAACCAGCCGATTCACGGCCCACCTCGATGTCTACGTACCGGTGAATCAGATTGTCAACATCGGCGACTTCTACTTAATGGACAGCTCTTCCGCCACTCCCACCACGGTCGCCTTGCCCAATGAGGGCGCCGTCGTGGGCGTGGGGGGAATTCTACCGAGCTCACCCATCTTTTCCGATTTGTGGGTGGCTGGCCTTTTCCCCACAGCGACGCCCAAGACCGCCTGTCCCCCAGGGACGCATGACGTCAGCGCCCTCGGTGGACCCATGATTGAGCCGACGAGTGGCGTTGGCGACGCGAATGGCAAAAAGGACGACGACTTGGTCATCTGCCTTGATGCCGACAAAGACCTCTGCATCAGCGGGGGTGTCCTTTCTCATCGATTCCCCTTAAAGGTGAGCTCACATCTTGGCATTTCCATAAATGTGGATATTGTGGGGCCTTGCATTATCACGGATCTCCTTTCCAAGATAGTCCTTGGTTTCAATTCACATTGAATTAGGGCCGGCATACCAAATATAGCAATATTGTGCTGCATTCGTCTCCATTAAATGGTGACGTGCCACTCACAAAGATCACCTGGACGTTGTTTTTGATACCTGTTTTCAGTACCAGATTTTCCTGCTTGTAGAAAATGCGCCAATCAAACAACTAGACGAGAGATGCGCCTGTTTTGTAGCGCCACGTCAAAAGGGTTTGAATATTTGTTAACAGGACCCGAAGCAACAGTGCCTAAGGTTGAGGTTTGCCAAGATGGTTTCGAAATAACTTATTTCCCTTTCGAGAATTTCACACAAGAATATCCTAATAAAATTTCATTTGCCTTTCATATGAAAGCTAATTCACCTCACGGTAAAAACACTAGCTACTATTGAGTGTTTGGGGCAAAATTTAAACTAGAATTTCGCACAGACAGTCCGATCAGCAGCCGAATCTCTGAAAAATGGCTTTCAGGAGGCGCGCACGTCAATCGAGCGCGTTTTGCGCGGAAGGATTCACAAGCGTTGACCAGGTCTCACACATCCCACGAGCCAATTCTCAAATTTGGTCGACTCCAGTGAAAACAGGTCCGCTTAAGTGAAGGAAAGATGACCTTAAGGTAATCAAAATTTGGCAAAAAAGTCGGCTGAAAAGAGGAAAACACCGAGATTTCGCCCCAACCCCACATATGGCGACACGTGAAATAAATCCACACTGCTTGATGCAGTTCTTTTGAAAAATGAATGGCTTGTGACGCACTGCTTGCATTAGGTGCCGGAGGCGTTTTCCCCTATCTCTCCAATTTGATTTATGCGTGTTTACGTTAAGGCGGTGAGACACTTTCGCGAGGGAGTCGTCTGATGAGAATGCATCAGGCTTGGTTTAAGATGGGAGTTTGGACACAATGGAGGGCATAACGTTAAATGTCATGTCGCGGTGCCGAAACCATTAGGCACATCAGTGTGGCCAGGTGATATAATGAAATTGGTGGACGATAGGGTTGTCTTAGTTGGCGCGCAGATCCGAGTGAGTGTGCTTAATTCGTGTGTATTGGCTTGGTTTCGGTGTGAAGTCCATGTTAAATTTTTCCAACCCCAAGATTGGGTTTAGTTTTGGAAAAAAATCTCCACGTATGCCCGGAAAATGTTTATCGGATGTCAGGTTTCTGGCGGTCGTTAATCTTACCGGACATTATTTTCCTGCTTGAATGTCGTATTGTTGACCCTTGTTCAGACTTTTCAGACTCATTATACTAAGTGCGTCCTCAGTAATCACGGTATGATTAGAAGCTTTGATTTTCTTTTTACCGTGTTCACTTTGTCCCACAGGCAAACCTGGGAGCAGTCGGTCCATGGAAGATGCAAATATTTTGCCCCACTCTTCTGTCAAACCTTAAATATCATTGATGAAGTTAAACGTGTGATTATGTTGTTGTGTCTGCAAGTAATTCTTAGCCACTTCAGTTTACTTAAACCCGTTTTCATTTTTCCCAAGACGGAAATGAAAGGAAGCGAGAAAAGCAGAGGCGTAGAACGAGGCGTTGTAAAGCGTCTCACAACCTTGTCATTTGCCTCCGAAATCTAGGTTAATTAATGCCTGCTTATTTTTGTCCTATCTCACTTGGTTTTGTGTTTCCAGCAAGTGGGATTTCTCGAATGGCCTTTCTCGTAGACATATCTGCCAAATATGTCAAGATTGGCGTCTCATCTGTCAAAATGGTCGTCTATTCGATTTGACACTTTTGACAGAACACCTAGAATCGAGCTGAAGCTCTTTTCCTTTCAGGCTTCCAGTCTGCACCTCGTTCACAACACAGACAAGACGGAGAGGTCGCGTTCCTTCCTAACAGTCAACATGCTTTCAACCGGCCGATCGCCTCCCGAACAGCTGGCCGAGGTTCACCTGTCCATCGACGTTGCCGGCCTGCGCCAGTCGTGGAGATTCGAGCCCAGTCAGGGCCTCGACTTCACCTTCGTGTGGAATCGCACCGACGGATACAACCGCCCCGTCTACGGTCGAGTTCCTGCCAAAGGTAAGAGAATTGGTCCATTCAGCAGGCCTACAAACGTCCACGTCGTAAACTCCAGGTGACAAACCACGACAAACCAATCAAACCTCACAAGCTAATCCCTATAGCCTGGGCGGCGACAGTATGTGAGCAACTTCATGAGGGGCCATTTTAAATGAACAAAAAGAATTTTCACTTCCGTGCCTGGAATTTTTAGTGCAAATTAACACCGTTTCACATCGTGAGTATATTCTGGGTGCAATTGGCGAAGTAACCTGTCAGTGAACTATGTCTTAGCCCGCAAAATTTTACCATAAACCATCTCTGTCTCGTACGATGCGCTCAGCACAATTGCACCCTGTCTCCCTTCTTGAATGCGCATCTGTTGCGCATTTGTGAGGCGCCACGCACAGATGACCGTGACTGCCACTTCGACCAAAACATGCACATGTGTAGCTGGTAAATTGTACGTCTCCACGTGGGGTGGTGTTCTCATCCGGCAGGTGGTGACTTTTCCACCTTCGTATGTCTGTTTGGCATTTGGAAATGCTTCCACAGGGGACCTTAGAACTGGAATGATTTGTAATGCCGACTTTGTTCCACCTGACACTTGAATTAGAACCCGGTTTTAAGGCAAGGGAATGTGCGGTTTGAAATTGACCACGCCAATTTCCCCCATCGGCCTCGCCTTGATTGGGTGTTCAGGTGTTTGAGGACGCATCTCCTGACCTCGCGGTGTCACGTGGTTGTCTCTGCTTTGACCACGAGATCTCATCCAGGCCCAAGCTACCGCCCAGTGAATTCCCTCATGGGAAAACATTTTTTTCGAATTTACAAAGGGTTGGAGTTTGAAGCATTGAAAACGAAGCTAATTCGCTCCTTCATCTTACCCTCGGAACGCTAGCATCCTTCTAATTTTCACTTATCTTTCTTATCCCAAACTTCACGGCGGTCCCAAACGCACACGTTTCTATCGTCAGATTTGTTCTGATTTCTGCTTAATCGTCGAGGTGATTTATTGAAGCTGATTATGCCGTGGTAGGTCCTACAGCTCGTAGACCATTGCGTGCTTACCAACTGTGCCAAATGTCCGAACAGCTGTTTGCCTACCGGGCGCTGCAGGCGCCGCGATTTGAAATGAAAACCTCACAGTGTGCCGGTCATTGCTGTTGACCCGCAGTTTCTTTTGCATCAACTATTTACTAACAATGCATTCTTTTTCAAATGTGGGCTGCGATAGTAGCAAAACGTGTCAGTGGGTGGTGCTTCTTTGCCTCTGTAAGAAACTGTTTGTAGTCAGTGTCTAAACTCGAAATCAGCTCAAACGTAGAAGTTTGCGCTCGTTGTTCTGCCGTGTTCCGCGTCGACGGCGTGTCCACCGACCACGAACGTGAGCACGATTTCACGGATTGACCTCTTCCACTTCGAGCATTTGCTTTTCAACCCACGAGCGGCCCCAACCAACCATGCAGTGTCTGTGTTAGTGATAAGTGGATGGGCTGGTTGTCAGAACTAAAATTAACGTCCGTTAACCACTTTCGCGAGAAAAGTAGTACCGAGCTCTATAATTATCGTTAGCTGTGTCGTATTGGTAGGGACATTAGGCAGCCTTGTATGTGCTTTCAGAATCAGCCTATATTAAGTCCCACAGCAGCCTTAATTGGATGACGGTAATTCCAATTTCTTGAGTTCTAAGGTCGGTCTTTGGCTGACCAAACTCTCCAGGTCAGAGAAAAGTTTTAGTGTAACTCGGGTTTGACGAGTTTCAAGTCACAATATTTTGCCTTAAATGATAGGGTACCTGTCGTCGTCGTCGTCGTCATCGTCATTATCTTCATAGACATCAGCCCAAGCAGTCCAAGTGCGCAATTTTGACATTAAAAAGACTTTATTGCCGTTATCTGACGATACATTGGGTTTAATGAGGCAAGAATAATTGCGTTTTGGTCCATAATGTATGAGGAGTTATAGAGATAGACATTTTTTAATGAGTGGATTTAGGTTTAGTTTGCATTACAGGAATTCAGTTTTAAAAAAATGCTGTTTAAATAGGTCATTACGGAAGGTTATCGTTTCCCGTCTGTGTGCTGCTGTTGCTCTACGGAAACAGCGCTTGTTGGTTAATTTAAATCAACGGGCTACTCGCCCACGAGTATGAGGCAACTTCCAACGCCAGTGTTTTATCGGACAATAAACTTGGAACGCTCTCTGCACAAGCACGCCTGGGCCGTGTTTGAAAAGGGCGCGAGCGCGCGTGCTATTTACGCCCCACTTGATGTGCGATTTTGATTGGCTGCGCGCGAACGCCCGCGTGCTCACATGCGAGTGCAGGTCATCTTGACTAAACTCGCGTTGATGCAACTAAAAGATAGACCCGACAGGCTGAAAGCGCCTTGGTTGAGTCACGTGCCACTAATGGATGCTCCTGTGCGCTCTACATAGTATCTTGATGGAATTGTTGTGTTTTAGTTTCTGTCGGATTTTTGTACGCCGATTGTCCGACGGTGTTTTGGGAGCACCGAGTCGCGTACATGGACGGACACGACATCTCCCCCAGCGATTTGGGTCGATGGAGTCTTGATGCTCGCCACACCTTCTCACCAAACCAGGGAATTGTCTACAGGTAAGCTTTCGGAAGAAGGAACGATCGATCCGTTTTGTATAGATTAGACGTTGTTGTGATCTCTCAATTTGTGGATACTATCGTATGCCATCCTACTTTACCAATGCATTTCGGTCAGATATTTAAAAAAAGGTGCATCTTAGCATCCTTAATCTGCAACTCCGGTGTCGGTGTAAATAGGAAGTTTTTTTTTCAGTTATAACAGAGGCGCCAACAATGTGATTTGTAGCACGAAGGACGAGGCAGTGTTTAATATTGTTACTGATAATTATTAAATAGCAATGTTTGTCTATTGTAGAGGCGATGGATCGCGACTGGTCGTGGGTGACAAGCACCTTGTGGTTGGTCTAGTGCTCGGGAAACCCAACGTCAGACGTTCGGCCAACAGGTGTGAAATGTGTCTCGGCAAAGCGCGAGGTAATCCAATTTTTCGCGCGGCCGCTTTGGCGACGGACGAGACGGGCCGCCTTCTTGTCGGTGATGGACATTATTTGCGATACCTTCAAACGGACGACTACCCCAGAAGCTCTGAGAACATGGGGTAAGACAACTCTTCTCCCCCCCTCCTCCTCCTCCTCCATCTTCTTCTCTTTCTTTATTATTTCCTCGACTTATTGGCATTGCAATAATGGCGCCAAATTTAAATTTAAAGCAAAGGGAAATGATTTCCCCTGTGTGAGCAAGTAAATATGTAGTCATAATTATGCCAAAGTCAACGTACACGAATCAATTAACTCGGAGTCAATGACTAACGTGCATGCCCTGCTTGAGCGTCGAAATAGATGTAGTCAAATATGATTGGTTAGTTGTGTTCATTGACTACTTGAGGTCGCGTTAATTGGTCTCCCATTGGCACGATTGACAGTGCATTTGCGGGATTTAGAGCAACGGTAGATCGGGCCACCTGAGATACTGCGAATCGTATCTATGAGGCTCGATGTCAGTGTGGTATGTTCAGGATCCTTTGTTCCACAGAAAATTTTAATAATGGTCCCTGAACTTTTGGTCATGAATTTCGGTCATCAGTTTATTACGCAGCAGTTTGCTTTTTAAAAGAAACGCACTGTCGAACTAGGCTCACGCTTGTGTAGGTCACATTAATATCTGCCCCAATTTAAGCAAGAACTTGAGTTTATAACCTCTATTTCAGGTCTTTTTCTGCCTCTTTCGATGCCTCTGCACCCGATGGATCCTCATCTGACGCGGCTACCTCACAACCTCGGTCGTCGGACTGGTTAGTTGCTGATGTTCGACCAATGGCATTCATCGACGGTGGTGTGGGCGAAGACGATTGGCCCGTCTATCACATAGCACGTCATCCAATCAGTAGTGAGGAGCTTGAGGCACTCTCAAGAGGCGGTATCGGTGGTGGCCGTGCCGGTGTTTTCATTTCGGACACACGAAACAAGACTATTTGGTGGACGAGCCTTGTAAGACGCGACTTCAGTCAGATGGTCATCAGCGAGCAGTGTCCACCGAATAACACCTACTCGGACTGCCTTCGAATGCCTCTGGTCCATCCAAAGGGTCTTGTTGTCACGTACAATGTAAGTCCTTCGTCTTCATAGCCATTTTGAAGCTTCTCGAAAACCACGTCAACGATACAATCGACAAAATTCCACAGCGATATCGTTCGCAGCGCATCTGATGTACTTTGTGGTTTTGTTATTGGACTCACAATTTCACTCCAACACCTTCTGTCTATAATGGGATCAATTTCCAGGCTGTCAGGAAATTGCCATTCACCTGTGCTCCCTTCCTCTGCAGGAAGACCTGTTTTTTATCGACGACAAAAGCCTCTGGCGGTACCAGCTGCGGCGCACAGCGGGACAGAAGCCCACACGGGCCGAGCTTGTGATTGGGCAACTCGACAGTGCAAGTGTTCCGATGTCCTGTGAGAGGTCGTTGCCGACGGAGAAAGTGAAGCTGGTCAACCCCTCAGTGGTGGGCTACAATCCAGTTGAGGACTCGATTTACTACGTGGATGACAAATGTGTAAGTGTGCTTGACCCACGCCAGTCAGTCGACTGAACACTCTTACCGAAAGTTGTTGCACGAGATGGGACATCATTGGCACGATCTTGGTGGAATTTTAGCACACCCAGACATTGCGAGTTTGAAGTATCAAATGTTTGAGTTTGTGCATCATTAGGAAGCCTCGTTTTTTATCAGAAGGCTTCGCGTACTCTAGCTTTTTTTCACTGTCTCGATTCTCCATTCCCGTAAGAGTAACTTTTCACGGGAAGTTCTTCCATTGGATTACTATGTGTACCCCCAAAATTGTTTGTTTGAAAATCAGCGAACTCTGAGGATTAAGGTCAATAAGATATTTCACCACTACTTTAAGAACTACAGTCAGCGAGGTACAATGTCACACAATGGTCTTTAGTCACCTGTCAATATTGCTGAACACAAAGAAAGAAGCGAAGTGTTTAATTTTAACGGCACTACAGGTGAAGTTAATCGTCGATGGACATTTGTGAGGGTTGCAAAGACCAAAAAACGTTGTCTCTGCTTGAGCGCTTCGAGTGGTGCGAAGATGACTGATTCCAGTATGTCTTCCTGAACGCGTGGCTTTCAGCAGTGCAAACGTGCCGGTGTAAATGCTACCTCCTCTGAAAGAAGCAAAGCAAAATTTGAATTTTGCAATGGAATGTCAGTTTGAAGTTGTGAAGGTTTCGAAATCCCCGCCGGCCAAGGACATCTGTGTCCGAGCTTCGTTTTTTTAAACAGAGTAAAAGCCAGTGGCCACGTATCAACCGACGGTCTGTTCTGGATTTAAGCAAAGTTACGCCACGACCACATACTACACATTCAACACACATACTCAAACACATTCCTCTTCGTCGTTGCACATCGAATGTTTAGAAAAACAACAAATCTTCATAATCGGCCCTCTTGTAGTGAAAGTTGAAATCGAAGCAAAATGTGCAGGAACAGCAAAGAAATTGACTCGTGTATCGAAGAGGGGGGTCGTTGTTTTGAGTAGCCTGAATGAAGTGTGGACATTCGGCCCAACTAATTCCAAGATACCGGGACCTGAATCCAGGCAATGCACAGCACCTAATAACTTAAGAGGTCATTGACCGTTATAGAACGCTTGCCTTACTTGGTGCACTGGTGGCCATGAATTCTACATTATCGATTATTGGTTTGTCGACAAAATTTCGACTCCACACAAACCGTTCTCACCTTTTTCTCTTGATTAACGGCTTTTCCTTCAATTTAATTTCGTCGTGCGCCAGTGTTACGGCAACTACCCCCTCCGAATTGTTGCCATGAATTTAAAGAGTGAGAATCGTAGCGTGTAGGTTTTTTGCCAATTTTATCCAACCGACGTCGACGCGTAAGATGGTGGTAACGGAACAGGCACCTCAGAAGTGGCAAAAAGTTCCCCAAAATCCTGCCTGATAATGGACATTCGTGTCCACGCTCCCGAAAATGAGGCCGCGGTTCCGGGCTGTCCATCAGGTGATGTTAAAATCATGGAAGACTCAAATTAGTCGGCCGTACATTGTTTGTGCATGATTTCACCAGGGTTATTCCCTCAACACTGGTGTTTGTGTATATTTAGTAAGAGTAAATTCCAATAGTAAGTGTGTTTCCATGATGCAAAGGGCCTATTGCTCAATCAGTTTTCGTACGAAACAGTACGAAGTACCGAAAGAAAACACAGGAGGAGAGAGAGAAACTCAACCGTTCACCACAGGGCTCAACCAGTTGCGTCGTGCGTGTGTGTGTGTATTTGTCGTGTCGTTGTGCTGTAAAAGTCATGGATAACTAACGGAGACTGTTGACCACTTCATCTCAAGTGAAATAGCGAACGTACAAGAGACTAAATGGCCAGATACACCGAAGTGTGTGATCAGATGTGTCTGCGTGGGTGATTGGGTCTCCATGAGCCTGAGTTAATCGAAGCGGATCAACATGACTCACTACAAGTTAACTTACGGCATAATTAGACGTAGCACTACCTTATTTTGCCGTGAGTGACACACAGTTATTTCTGCCAAACTTGGGATAACTCAGAATTGAGTTAAATTAACTACAGTTGACAGGCTCCCACAAAATATCCCAAGATTTTGGCCCTTGTTTGTTTTTCATTACCTCATTTTATGCACGATGGCAAAAGAAAAAGCATTCTGCCATTGGGTTTTTTCACGATTTTCAGCCCATACTGTTTATACATCTGTTTCTGATTAATCATTTTGCCTAAGGTATGGTGGTTGTCGGGCCACTGGCCACGCTTGAAGTCACCCATGGAAACTAACCATCCCTTTTTAGTTTCTGTTTTTAGTGAAAATTCGTAGCAAGTAAAAATGCGCAATTTTAGCCTAGCCCATTTCGTTTTCCTATGCAAACCTTGAGATGTCCTTATGCATCTCCGTGCACTTTTTCTCCAAACTCCAGGTCTTCCGTCTGCACTTAGCAAGTCGGATGGTGTCTCTCGCTGCTGGCCGGCTTCCAGGCTGCAAGGCATCCGTCTCGACGTCCAGTTCACGGAACCTAGAAGACTCGAAAGCTCCCATGGCGGTTGATGTGGAGTTCACTGAAGTCCGCGGAATTGCATTCTCCTCTCTGGGTGAATTGTACATAGCCGAATCGGAGGTGATTTGGATTCGCCGTTCCGATGGTCGTTTGTATCCCTTCGCAGGAACCAAGACTAGCGCGCCCTGGAGTCAGCCTCGTGCAAGCGTCCACCTCCTCCATCCATCAGCTAGGGCCTCTTTGCCGTTCGACCAATCGACGCTAATCTCTGAGCAACTGGCCAATGGGGCACCGGTGCGCGATTTTCGGTTTGCAAATATCACCGCAATCGCCGTAGGCATCTACGACGAGGTGTTTGTTGCCGACGCCGGACACAATGTTGTTGTCGGAGTGCGGCCGGAGGCCCCAAAATTGGGACCTAACAACAAATACACCATAAAGAGTGGCCTGGAAGTGTACGTTTTTGACAAGCAGGGACAACTTGAAAGTGTGGTGGATGCTCTGACCCAGTACCCGGTCTATTCCCTGACGTTCAACGCGAACGGCTGGTTGTCAAGTGTTAAGCAGGGTCCCATGGAAATGGTTCTGGCAAGAGAACCGCTTGGTCTCCCACAGCAGATGGCCTACAACACCGGTAAATTCTGGCAATTAATCTCTGTGTAGGGTTTTGGGAAGGATGTTAGGGGTAAATTTGCATGTCATTTTTTTTTCAGGCGAGGCCTATAATTTAAGTCACTCATCTCTGAAGAGGGAATTCGAGTCTATTTTGGATCCATACGGTGGACTGCAGCGCTACAAGTACAACAGTGGGGGCCAGCTATCCAAATTATGGACAGTCTCTAGTGCCCTGCCATATATAGCTTCTTACTCCGCCTCGACCGGTCTCTTGGAGAGTATTCTACTTCCGTCAGGAGGGCTGTTTGCAGTGGGCATGGAGACCCAGAAGGTGAAGGGCCGGGGAAAGGTGCCCGACGTGTTTCTATCTACGGGTAAGGCTGGCCCCGTGATCCACGGATCTGTGTGTGCGTGCGTGCTTAATCAGTGTCTGTTTTTACGTCCTGTTTAGTCCGCAGGCAGGTGCTGGTCGACTCGTCGTCGAGTGGAGAAGTCGTTAAGCTCACATACGCCGGCGGCGCCCACGAAGTGGTGTTCGAGAGGGTTGACCCGCCCCTACCGGTCAGCAATAGTAACAACGACCACGCTTCATGGCAGATCGCGAGACGCATTCGAATGTATGTGCAACCCCAGTCACCGAATCATTTCCTTGTGTCGGATAACGGTGGCGCTGAAACCGCATTCAACGCATCCGCACAAGCCCCCCGGCTAATTGAAAATCTGTAAGTCAGCCTTAATCAAGTCTCGTTTCTTTGAGTCTTTTATTTCACCAAGCTTGTTAGAATCCGCTGTGTGAATAACAGCGTGTAGGATAGATTAGAGCTTAGTCAATAAATTTTCCAAACCCAAACATGGTTAAGATTTTGGAAGGCCCCACCTTATGTACCAGCTTTGTCCCTTCACGAAAACAAAATTCATTAAGGGTTAAGGATCCAGTTTTTTAAGATCTGAAAAATTCATGCTTCTTAATGCCAGGCACCGGATATATGTGTCGCGATGTGCAGGCAGGTCGCCTAGCTGTCGGTTTTGACCTGGGTCGTGTGGGTGTTACGACGTACGACCCTCGATTGCTAAGGTCTTTTAAGAAATCTGACATCTCGTTTCAACCAAACAGAACGATCTTGTGCTTAAATCTTCGCTGGATTAAAGGGCTAAGTTGACAGAGTTGTTGCCTCAAATTAAACGTTTTCGTTCGTTCAAAAATTCGCATTTGTTATGAGTGCTAATGGCTTGGATCCCAGATCTTGCCGCTTCCAGAGTGTCGTAACTTGAAGAAATGCCGATGTAGGCTTGGAGGTAGGGGATTGGCTCTGCTACAAAGGATCCACGTTCGAGTCCCAGCTATAGCCGAGTGATGAGACCCCGGTGGGGCGGAAACAGTCGTTTATGTTGGTCAAGATTCTTCTCCGCTGCCCCTCTTTTCCTACAGTTTTTTTGAAGTCTGATGCAATTAGATGTTCGTGTAAGTACATAAGCCTGTGTAGAGTGAACTTATAGGCATTTAAGCACAGAAATCAGCTGTGAAGAATTAAGCCTAGGTTTCAAGCAGCTGTGGAAGGCGTAAGACAAACAAATCTTCGTTAATCAACAATGAGCCTAATGATGTATGTTTGTGTGCGCTTGAGTATGTAAGTAGCCTTACCACGAAGGATTAGTCGACATTTGTAACTTTAAAAGAACTCCTTTTTCCCTGCAGCGTGGTTTCCAGTTTCGACATTTTCGGTCTAAAACAAGAATACCTGCAACCTAGGACAGAAAGCACTGTGCGTCAGCGGAGGTTCTCTTGGTTTGCAGGCGGTCCTTTCTCGTCCTCTCTGTTCCCTGGACGAGCTCGAAGGGACATAGCCACCGAAGCGTCCGTTCAGAAGACAAGGAAAACCTTATCGGTGAGTTCACATTTGAAGCGTTTATCAGTTGGGTTCAAGTTTATTTTAGCATGTCACTGTTTAAATGATCAAAATAACAGGCACATTTCGTTTAATCAAATATCATTTTTGCATGCAGATCAACGGCCAGCCGGTGCTTTCGGTGACGCTGGACAGGGAGTCGCGCACAGAGACATTTCGCAGTCCGGTTTCCGACAAGCTGCTACTTCAAATAACCTATAATGACAAAATGCAGCCAATTGGCTTCGCGACGCATCCCTCCCAGGCAACATCACAGTCCGGATTTGCGGACGTGTCCAACAATCCTGACTTCGGCGCCGCCAAGCCCCGCGACGAACCGGTTCTCGCTTCTCTACGCATCATGTACACCCCGTAAGTACCTTAATTGGTGGCCGACACGGCTTTCTCTTGCGTGTTCAGTCGAGCTCCGATTTCAGGCGATCTGAGTCAGCTTGGACGCTTTTCCCTTTTAAGATTGACACGTACCGTCACATTCTGGCATCACACATTTTCGGTCAGGGCTATTTTGATGCTTCTGTAAGCAGGGAGTTTGAAGCACTGAAAGCATGAGGGTTCATTGTGCACGAGTGTAACCCGGTGTCTTGTCCATACTACAGTTTTACAAGGCATGCGGCTTGTGGATCCATTTAAGTCGCTGTCAGCTGGAGATGCGGTTAATAATCATCGAAGGTTGGGTTCCAACAAGCGTCCGTTTGGCCATGAACGCGACTGCGGGTCTGTCGCGAGGGTTTTGCACAATTCAAGTCTAGAACCGTTCCCGGTATAAATGGTATGCCAGTGCAGAGAAGTAGCGGTATCACTTATTTGGCGGATGGAATAATGGGTTGGCAATTGCCATTTGATGAGGAACTATCGGTGTAACCCAAAACAGCAAGTCGAAACCTATGACAACATGAAACAATCGTCACTACGGTTTTTTTCGGTAAATTAGACTGTAATGCTGGCATACCAGTGCAGCATCAAGGTAATAGGGAAGATTGTCTAAATCACGAAGGCAGATTCCACCGAGATTCCTTCACGGCAATCTGAATTAGTATAAAGTATTATAAAGCGAAAAAGTGCATTCCCGCAAGTTTGTACTTTTTCCCATTTTTCGAATTTTAATTTCAAAACGCAGTTGTTTTCGTAGATTTGGGTGACGAGAGAAGTGTGCGGCACTTGGCCTAATGAGATCCGAGCTTTTCTCATTTCCCTCTCATTTGCTTTTAGCGAGGGACAACTGAGGGAGGCTTTCTGGGGACGCTCAAATTATCGACTGAGCTACGACTCGAAGAAGCGTCTGCGCACAGCAGAAATTGGGAGCGCTCTGGACACGCTTGCTTTCGACTATCAAAATGTCGCTTTTCCTCATTTGGTAAGTGGATAGGCTAACTGGCGAAGCCCGACTGCAAATTTGAAAACTATTTTGGCGTTCACTGTCGGGAAAGTTGATGACATCGACAGCCTGTTTGTGTACACGACTACTTGGTGTGGACTATTAGGGGTCTCATTATCGCGTCATGCCGAAGATTTGAGTCATTTCCCAATGTAATTGTCTTGTTTTGAGTTGCTTGTTCAAGACTTGAAAAGTAACTGCTGCGTACACCTAAGTGTTTCCGAACGAGACGTCATATAACTCGCGGCAAGTATCTTTGATAATCTCTCCAGATAAATACATTTGCTTTGCACCCTAATGAATCGCTGGATCAGCAGTTTTTGAATGAATGGCAAGAACCCTTTGGGCAAATTGAACAATTTGAGTATTCCCATCGTAATTATACATGAAATTAACAGAATACATTTGCAATTTATGGAAATGCCCATAAAGTCTGATTATTCTGCCTTCGAAGTGTAAGTGGTGGCGTTTTGGTCCCTCTTTAGCCTACGGAAGTGTCGGTGAGCGGAGCAGGCACCTACCGCCTTGTGTATAAGCAGGATCCAAACACCGGGGAGAACGGTCTTTCCCACCTGATCACCCCCTTGGGTCTGCACCGGGTCTTTGCACTCTTCACCAGCATTGGCGTGGACCGTCTCACTTTGACACCCTGGGCGCTCGAAGTCGGACCCACGTCTTCCTCCGCCTCATTCACCTACGACTGGGAGACACGCATTCATCCAACTTCTGCGTTTCCGGGCAGTCCATTGGCCCGTTTCACGTGGCCCTCAGGTAGACGTGTTAACGTGTTGCAGTCGAAACGCCTTATTGTCTACGACAACACCCTCATTCATTGGGATGTAGATGAGTTGTCGGAGACACAAATTGTGAGTCTCCACGATGCTCTAGCGGAGTTCAAAGTGAAGGAAAGGAGGACATTTGGTGCTGGAACTTTGGTGACCCACGTGCGGGGCGACGTGTTTCTTGCGGGCACCAGTCGCGTCCCATCAAACCTCGGGGGTCTTCTGGCGTACAGTCACGAGTACGAATATGACCACAGTTTCAGAGTAGGTACCGAGTTTCACGGCCGTCCGACCTTTCTACTCAATTCGGACTCAACATTGTTTGTTATTCTTTCAGGTGTACGGTATTCGTTCGTGTCTATTCAAACCAAAGAGTCATTCCCCTCTCTGGTGTCACCGATCTCACATAACTTATCACAACTGGGCAGGCTATTCCATCAGTCCGCTCAGCGTAAACTTCTTCCAGGAGGGCCATCTGACCACGGTTACTTGGACACAGGGTGCCCTTAAGTTGAGCAAACGCACCGACAGCCGTGGGCGTCTGCTTTCGGTGGTTCTGGAACGAGTGAGTTTGTGTTCTGACGAAACCACAAGGGTCCAATTAACGACCACAACTCCTCCCATAACTTGACTAGAATAACACACCTTTAGTCAAGCTATTAACTACAACTCATGACACCTGAGTCAGTCCAAGGTATTTGTGGAATTATGCGACTGGTGTTACCATTTTCCTTAGAAATATACTTAATAGTCTTTAAAATTGTAGATCTCTACGTGTAGGATTAATTCCGTTTTATTTCTCTTTTCGGTGTTTGCTTGTAAGCTTGCTTGATTTGAGTTAGTTGAAAAGGGTCTCACATTGTACATAATCGTATAGCTAATGCACGCACATTTATGGTTGGATTCAAGCACATAACCGTTCACGAATTTTATCCGTTCGATGCTTGAATAAACTGATTTTGTGCCTAAATTAATGAACCTTAGCTTTAATGGAGTCCACTCTCTCTTAGTTCTCTGAAACACAACCTGCCTCAAATGTTCGTTAGGTGGCTGTTGCCAAATAGGCAGGTGTTTCCCCCAAATTCCATATGGCGATAACTGTAGGAGTCGTCAATTTCATCTGTAACATAATGATAGTGACTTCGAATTTTTTTCTCCGAAAGGAGCCAAAGCACCATGACGTGCTAGTCAACGCCACGTTTGTGTACGGCGGGGATGGACTCGACCCCTCCAGTATGAACTTCGAAACCCTCTGGGACGTCCCAAGGAGCACCCATTACAGACGTGGACCTGGTGGTCGTGTGGAAGGCATCGACTACGAGGAAATCGGCTCCAGCCGCCGACGCCACGTGCAGGTTGTTTACAACGAAGAATCGAGAGTCTCTGACCTTCGGCATTACATTTCTGATTCTCAGTTCGCCAGCCTCGGTGGAAGCGAGAGTAAACGCATTTCCACTAAGTTCTCCTACGAGCGCGGTTTGGTCTCCGGATTCGGCAATTGGAAGTATGTCTTCGATGAAGACGGCTGTCTCGTGGAACGCCGTCTGCGAGACAACGGGGGCATTGAGGACCTGTTTGAGTACGACAGTAAAGGCCTGCTCCGATGGGTGGAGAGACGAGTTTCGTTAGCCACATACGGTGATCACGCGAAACACCAGCCTACCTTTGGCGACTCATTTTGCAGTGGATTCGAAAGTGTCTGCTACCCCCAGGAGTTGGGCATTGTCAAAGATTACTCCATCCAATTTATGTATGATGCAGAGGATCGTCTGGTTGTCGTACGCAATACTTTGTCCACTACTGACATGGTCCAGTACTTCTATGCCCATCCTCAAAATCCAGATCGCCTTACTTCGTTCTTCCACTACGGGAAAGGAAAAGCCTATTTCCTTAATTACGAGCAACAAACCGGTCACCTGTTTGCGGTCGAAGAGGTCGATTTATCTGGGACTGCCGATTCGAACCCCGAGCGCAAGGTCTACCTTGTTGTCACGGATAGTGAGGGTTCACCTATCAGCTTATTTAGCGACGACAAGGTAAGCTTTCCCAATTTAATCAAAGCTATTCTGTCCAGGACTTGTCACTTCCTTCATCAAATCATCACATAAATGTCTAATCTTGACGTCTTTGTTAATCGCTCCTGTTTGTAAATCGTGTTTCATTCTAAGGGTTAAAATGGATATTTAAAAATATGCTCATTCTGTAACATTGCATGCCTACTTGTCTCCACTAGCGTAGCGGCACCTTGAATCAGTTGATTTAAACGAGCGCCTCAACAAGTCACGTGGAGCCTGTCTTGTAACTAGTTAAACGGGGTCATTTCGACATTAGTGGTCTTCGAGTAAAACCCTTGTTTGTTCCCCGATAGCTGCTTTGGACGGCTGAGTACAGCGCAACAGGAGGTCGTCGCCTGATGAACCGTGACGTGTCCCTTACACAGCTCCTCGACGACTTGGTGGTTCCTCTGGGTTACCGGGGCGCCGTTCTGAATCCCCACACGGGCTTCCTCTTTGCCGCGCCCACCTGGCAAGCCTACGACCCAATGGGCGCGACACTCACCAGTCCCGATTGGCGTCGAGCACCGACTTTGCGCCTCAGGAAGCTGCACAGCCATCCCCAGGCGCTCGACCTCCACCTGTGGCTCCCCGAAGACTCCAATCGAAATCCGCTAGTGCGCCTACAGGAGGCCATTCGCAGTCCCACCTGGTGGTTGCGCCGCATCGACCAGGACATTGATCGACTTTTCCCGCGTTTTCAACCCGATACCGGCGCGGTTTCCGCCCCGTCAGCTGCAGGCAAGTTAGACCTCCTGCCGACCAAATGTCGCCAGGGTGTGCTGGTGTCCTCCAAGCGACTGCAACAGGCCAATCAAATAAATGAGCAGCTGGAGCGTTTGGGCATCGTCAATATGGGCCAACTCGCTCCGGATCCACTCTCGACGCTTTTCGACGACGCTTGTCCCATGTCCAGGATCAAGGTTACCTCACCCATTTTCGGAACCGATGTAAGTTTAATAAAGTACCTTTCAAGGCCGGCTACTTGATGTGTACTTATGTTTGTGGAGAGCACTGACATAAATTTATACCATTTCAAGTACCTTCTTGATTGTTATGAGCTATTTTGAGAAAGCTAATACACCCGTCTCTAGTCACAGCAGAACCACTGGTCGACTAATGCTCGTTTTGGTGCTGTCGGTGTGCGATGTGTTGTATATAAAATCTGAGCGGCCAGGAGCAGATTTCATCAGTCGAAGGATAAGTCGATCGAAAAAAGAAAAAGTCATTTGGATGGCAATTTTCCAAGTGAAAAAATTTATCTACTGAAAAGGTATTAATGAAGCAGTTTGTTTCAATTTTATTCCCTCGTCCCCTCAATATTCATCCTCTATTTTAAAGACATCAGTACATTTGTTTTCTTCCAAAGCAATTTCTAGCACGAATCAACCTTCAGGGTCTCAAGAATACGCTCCATTTTTTAAATTACCATAACTTCGCCTCGTTTTTTTTATAATCTTGATAAATTGAAGTGCACGATATTTTGGACAGGCTGCATTATCAAAACAGGCAGTAATGTTGAAGGTAGCGGTCGTTCCTCAGCTACTTTTTTGAAGATCAGGTATAATTATCAAAAATTTTAGTTTTAATTAAAAGATCCGGCTCCACAGCAGCATTGCTGAACATGTTTTTTTCTCTGGTAATAATGGTCGGTCATTCATAGGAGCATCAGTTCACCGGTACTGACTGTGCTATGCCCGTGGTTAACTGGGCTACAGCATTACTACTTGTGGTTGTAAAGGCACTGCTATTCAATACATCGGAAGGGCGCATGAAATTCACACGACTGTTAATTGATGTATCAAACGATCTCAAAATACACAAGCCATTGATACGATCAGGTTTTTGTGGGATTTACGAACTGTGATAGTCAAGTCAGTAGTTCACGCTTCTTCCTGCTTCGTATTAAGTGTGGACCGATTTGTGCTGTGGTAATTCTCTTTCAGTAGTGCGAATATAAAATTGAGATTCCTAGTTTATAAGTGACTGAGACAATGCCTTGCTTTGATCATGCTTGCAGGTGAGTTTTGCGTTATCGCTCGACGGCACGGTGTCTGTTCTGCCTTGTACAAACACCACGGTGAGCCAAGCAGCTCGGGTGCTCCTGTCCGGTGCTAAGTTGATGGACTCCTGGTACCTCCCCACACCGTCTCACGGCGGACTGGCAGCAGTCACGTCATTCGTCCAACTCTTCGTGAAGGTCACCCCCAGCCTGGACACCGACCTCGCGGCCCTCCGCCTGCAGCGCTCCCAGCTTCTCTCGCCCGCATCCGTCCGACTCAGTGGCAACGCGTCGCCCCTCAGCGGGGTACGCCTGAGTCTGGACAACAGCGCGGGCGTGGAGATGCGGATAACGTCCGCGGGTTCGTCGGGTGTGGAGTGGCGCCTGCGCTACGCCGACAGTTGGGCCGCCGCTAGCGCGCGTGTCCTCCAAGAGGCGAAACGACGCGGAATTCTGGGAGTCCAGCGACGAGCCGCCTCACGCGTGGGCCCACGAGGTCGTGGGCCTCGCACATCACCGAAGCCTTGGCCGCCCTGGCCCTCAGCATCACCCGAATCGAAGGAACTGGAGGCAAACAATGGAGAGGTGAAGGGCTACGTCTGGGAGCCGGTAATCAGAGAGCCAAAGAGAGCTGCCATCCTTTCCGAGTTGTTGGATGACCCCGCGATTTATCAGTTGCGGCCGGCGAATGCAGCTCATCAGAAAAAATCCAAGGCCGCGTTATAAGTATGTTGAACGCTTTAGCTCATTTGTAAACGATGAATTTATGAGGAATTTGCTTTTGCAAACTTTGGGAGGTGCAAAAACTTAGCAGGTAAATTAAACAGTTAGGAGCACACAGAAGACTTAACCATCGCCATCGCCGCCAGTCACTGAGATTTGAAGATAGCATCATTTCTAAATGACGCCAAAACCTTTGTTTTCATAATGAGACAAGAAGGTACGGCATCTGACAGGTCCGACCTTCAAGTAGTAATGGAAGCAGGGCCCTCCAATCAGGCTTTGTCAGGGAAGTAGGCATTGTCCATGGCGTTGTCACTGCGAATCCCAGAAAGTCGATGAGAATAACTGCCAACGAAGCGCACACACAACTGTGATTTAGTAGGCTTACTTTTGCGAGGCGAGGGAGCTGTCCATGTCCGAGAACGTTCATGTGAATCGCATAATACGCACACTTGATAATTTAAACCTGATCTGGTTCGTGTCAGACGTGAACCTGGATCAAAGTTGACCACCGATGTGTGTTAATCGTTAAATTTATTCGCTTTTGCAACCCCACTCGCTTTTTTGACCGCACTCGAGCATTGAACCAAAATCGTTGCGTACAAGTGATTGTCGGCCCATTGAAATCGTCAGTGCGTGTGGCTGATTGATTGCACAATTGTGGGCAGTGCTCATTGTGATTGGTTAACATGGACATGCGTGGGCGGGACTGACAGCCTCGTGCGTGCAAATTATATCCCATTTAGCCCACTTTTGGTTATATGGGTTATTGGTTGCACACAGCAGAGCGAAAAAACGCCCGATTTGTCAAGTTTTTTTTCCAACTTTAGGGCCTTTCCGCCGTTTCCAAGTGTTCACAAATCTTTTAATATTTTGGGTAAAATGAACAAATCAGCTACGTGTCGGGACAATCATCCTGCCGGTTGTTGTGAATTTGGATGTATCCTCTCACAACAAAGCCTTGCATTGTCTTTCATTTGCGTTTGGAGTATATGAGACCTATGATCTGAATTCTCACAATGACACCTTTTACATGTCCTGTGTCACCTATTCCTGCACACACACACACACACACACACACACACATTACCATTCTGGCTTTTGACTTTCAGACGTGGACATTGTTTGGACAGGTTTATTTCTTCCTCTTACTTTTGTGAGTTGCATTTAGGATTTCGAAGAGCGGTTATTCTTACCGTGATTCCGCCGTATTTGTCCTCCTTTTTGCTTGTAAATATGTTCTCATAAAGTGGCAATTATAACTCTTCATTCCTGCCTTTTCAATTCCGTATTCCTGGCGACTTACTACTCATAGTTTGTTAATAGAAATAAACTTTGAGGCTTTCGTCTGCAGCAAGCTATTCGTGCACATCAATCCTGAGCGCTGGTAAAATACCCTTAGAATTATAAACGGGAGGTATACTAAATTTTAACCTTGTGAGGCTTCCTGTTGGCTTAACACCAAGAATCCCACTAGTTGCCATTCATTTTCACAAGAGAGCCCTCTTTATCAGTTCCAACGGCGAAAACTTTGGGCTTAAGTAGAAGTGGTAGCATGGCGCACAATTCACAGGAAACAAATAAGAGTAATGGGGCACTCAAGTCAAATTTCGTGCCGGGTTAGTTTGAACTCCACGGTCCACGTAGATTTTCTCCTCAATGAAGTCAGGTTCTCGAAACTTAGCAACCAACCTGCCTTAATTCACAATTTAAGAGAATTTCTATTCACATCTTTGACTGCGGTGTGTTCTTTGGACTACGGCGTATTAGAATGTTAAGTCTAATGCGGTGTGGTTTTCACACCAAACTGGAGTCGACGACCCACGCAGACACTGCTCAATCGGGAAAGAAGAAGTCCGCAGAGCAACGCCGAGCTCAACCGAATTCTTGCCACAGTAGAAAACGTGGTCCTTCAGCATGACAAGGCGTTCGTTCACGTCAGAATGTTTAATATTCGATTTCTAAATTAACGTCGCTAAGTGACATAAATTCAAGATAATTGATTGGTTGAAGCATTTGTGAGCGACCTTGAATGCATCCCACAGAGATGTGGTGGTCGCCAACAATGGAAAGGAAAAAATGTAGGTTTCCCGAAAATTAAAAATCAAATCAGTGAACGTCACAAATGATCAACTTGCTCCATCTGGCTGGCTTTCATCCGGGCTACCGTAAACTGCTGCGTTGCAAATGAAGTCATGGGGAAAAGGACAAATGCGGACGGCTTACTGCCAGGAGGAGCCCATCTGCTCCATTTTCCCAAATTGTGATCAACCCGACTAAAGTGGTGTCGTGTTCGCCTGTCACAGATCAACTGATACAATTTTGGTGCCCAGATGTGATCACGGATATAAATTTAAGCCATGCAATTTGTGATTTGATCGTTTTGCATGTCTAATTCATTCGAATATATACCAGTTAGGAAGTAAATAGCGCCAATTATTGTGATTGAATCAGTAAAGTAGGCGTAAGCATTAGACATAACTAAGCTACACACATAAGCACAGGCCAAAATGGGACACTTTTGGAGATACGTGTACCTGAGACTTTAAGTTTCACACCCACGGTAGACAGAAAACAATCAGCGCAGACCCAGAATTGCTCTTAGCTGGATCTATCCACCGGCCACTCGATGTCTACGTCCAAACGACCTGCATGGTGTAGCCAGATATCGTTATTCCCTTATGATCATTTATCAAAACCCCTTGGTAAGATCTGACAGAAGTGAAGCTCCCCCTGAAATGGTTAATTGCTGTGATTAGGAAGTACACAGACATTGGTTTGTTCTGGGCGTGGAAAATTAGTTGCACAAGCGCCACATATACTGAACAGCCAAGGCTGCCAGTTTATAATTCAAAAAGGTGTGGCTTACAGCAGCCAGTGGCCAGCTGCTTTAATAATTGGTCTTGTGTAATTTTTCTTCGAAAAGCAATATTTTGCCAGTGGTTCGTTCTGGCTTCTCTCAAAAAACTTCGCTAGAAGCAGCTGCCTTGCCAGATCTAAGCGTGATGTGGTGAATAGCCTCTAGAAAAGCAGTTTACTTGAAGGCATAGTAGTTAAATGGAGTGCAGAAACAAAACATGACTGGTGAGAGTCTGTTTGATTTCCGATTTCACTTGTAGTGAATTGTGTTGATTCACGTCCAATAACCCGGTCGTCGCAGCCTCACACACACAGGTACCCCCTTGTTCACGGCGTGCTCGTCAGTCACGGGGCCGCCTGCTCATTCAAGTCTCTGCATGTAACACCACCACCACCACCACCACCACCACCACCACCACCACCACCACCACCACCACCACCACCACCACCA